GAATGGCATCTGTGATGTTACTGTTTAAAACCTTCCCACTGTGTTCTGTATTAAAGAAAACTGTCTATTTGTTTTCCTTTCCTTTTCACCCTGTACCTGTCCTACTGAGCCACTTTAGCTTTCAGCTGTCTTGCAGACCCTTTTTCCTTATTTTCCTTTGCCTTCTCAGGTGCTGGTTCATCTGCTTATGAAGTAGTTATTTTCTCTTTCTAATGTTCATTTGCTGCTTTGATTCCCTCCTACTTTTTGTTTGATTAATTTCTTCCATTCCTGGAAATAGAGGAAATGATGGGAGGAAGCTATCACRGTAGCTGTTRTAAAATGATGTGGAATATAAGTTAYAGGATARTGRCACATACCATGGAGTATATMMAAGATTCTCACAGAACWGATCATCTTTCAAGGCTTGGGAGGGATGAAGTTCATTTGTGCAAGGAGCCTTTGGACTAAAAGTGGCAACTGTATAGACCCTGAAGAGCAGACCAGAATAAGAGTGACTTTTGTAGGCAGGAAGGTCAGCTTTCAGGTGATGAGTCAAAGAAGACTTCAGCAGTTTTATCCTAAGTGGCTATCCAAGGTTTGGACACCTCTTGAATGGGGTGAGGGTTGTAGTTGTAGTTGAAGTTCGGTTCTACCCAAGAGATGCTGCATGCTTGTTAGAGTCATCCAACAGAGAGGAGACTATGTGATCATAATAATGCTTTATTTCCTTGAGACAGTGAGCAATGATCCCCATGGTCATGCTATGTGAAGGAAAAGATCTTGTGCTTTAAGAGTTCTTCCTCTGTTCAAGTGGCTTGTGCTCCTCCCCCTTCCTTGTGTCAACTTTTGGTATTTTATGAGCTATCCTGAGAATCTGTTCCAAGTTCYTGAATGTACTGAAAGTAATCCGTCACATTCCACTTTCCCCTACCTGTCCTTCCTCAGTCCYTTGCTCCTTTTCCTTGCTCTCTGTGCCCTCTGCCCCTTCTGGGTTGGAGGGAATAGACTCTGTGTAGATTGTGGTATCACAAGAGAAGAGAGTGAGGGAGTGTGGGGTGGTGGGAGGAAAAAAGAGGTGGTGAGTCAGCTGTGCATGCAATACATTAGTTAATTGTTGCTTTATGTAGGGAAATTATTTGGTAATGTCCAGCACAGAGGTTGAGCAGAAAGCGTGAAACTGCTTAAAGACTGCTCACAAAACACACCTTCTAGTTCTTTGGGAGTCAGGTATGCACTTCTCAATGGCTGACATCTCTCAACAATAGAAATGTTAATTCTCCTTGAATAGAAAACTGATAGTTATGGCTCAGACCCAAGTTCGCCCTTAACTCCCTCCAAGTTGTTTCTTTCTTTCTCTCAATTCTTATACAAAATAACTTTCTTAATCATGGAAACAGGCTGAGATTGGTATCAGTGCAAATCCCAAGTGTAAGCTCYGTGCTAATGTTTTTGCATGAATGCAAGGTATTGAATGTCTTCTGGGGTGCTTTGCGWGGTGGTTACTTTAGACAGAAAAGTCTAGACAGTTCTTAGGATCTATTGCACATCTCTACACCTGCCAAAATTTGGGAGTGAGTTTTGTTCAAATTACACTGCTGTTCCTCAGAAAGGTTTTCACAATACACATAACACTAACTGGACTAGTTTGTCTCTCTCTCACTCCTTTCCCCCAAAAATCTCTGCTACTGGTGTCCTAAAACKTGAATAAAGTTATTTTTATTTCTACCTTTCCTCATCCTCTTAACAATTATGAAGAACATTCTTTTATACATTATAAGAACATTCTTTTGTACATGGTTTTGTTGTATGTACAAGAAATCATGTAAAGATTTCACACATATGATTGAGACAAATGCTTTTTAAACACACTTTAAGCCTGAAATAAATAGATTAGCTTTCAGAAAGGCTCTTCAGTGGGTAAAGGAGGTAAATATAGATACCTTTTTTCAATGTCAGTCTTAATWGTATTTTTTCAGAAATAGAGAAAACTACTTTCTTGCTTGAACCGGCTAATAGTGCAGTTGAAAATGACCTGGAATGTAAGAAAGTGTCTTTCTAAGTAATGTAGAATTACTTTTTATAGTTTTCAGTTCACCTAAATTCCTCAGCAATATCCAGACACTACTGATGTGCAATACCAAGTCTCTCTAAGACTCTGAAGTTTATGGAGAAAATACATGGAAAGAACATAGATGTTTGCAAGAAGAAAAAAATGAGCAATTCATTTAGACTACATTTGAATGCTGATTTTAAAACTTAAATATTATGAAAATTTATTGAACTGGGTTGTGAGTACTTTTTCCTCACTTCTCCCTTCCTTCTTGGAAGTGTGGTTTGAACATTATGTTTTTGGTTTGTGTATGATGTTTAAACGTTTCATTCATATGATGGAAAATTAAACAATAGGCTATAAAATGTGGTTGCAATCTCAATTAAATGTTTGATATTTCTCCCTATGTATCCTAGTAAAAATAATGACAATGTTTCTAATGTTGGTAAGCTCATCTTGAACTGTCTATGAATACATGAGCTTGTGGGTCTGTCTTCACTTCCTGCTTTGCATAGTTTTTGTCACTTAATCTGAAATACAAGTTTAGCTGAGCAGCTGTGCCCCTGTGTTGGCTGTTTTAAGTCAACATTTGTGCAATTTTGTAATATTTTATAAAATACAGTCCTACTGTATGATTGTAAAAATATTGTTTGTAAGGACTCTTAATTTAAAAATTTTTTGAAAGGTATCCCTTCAAGTTCTAGTGGRCCTTCAAGAATAGGCAAAGCATGAATTAAAAAAAGCAAAGGCAAGCTTAAAACCCACAGTTGTATTTCTTGGATAGGATACATACATTTGAGTCTCCATGTTTTAGTGTAGAATGAAGTTCCAGAAAGTTGAGTCAACACACAAAGGATAGTAGGCAAAAACCACACTGCATAAAAAAAACTTAAAAAATAAAACCTTAACTGCATGCTAAATTAAGTGTTTTATTTGAGGTGTTTGTGTAGTTTGTAATGGAAACTATGGGCTTACAAGAGCAAATGATGGGAAACAGTGGTCTGCAATGCAGCAATAAAAATTGGGAATGCCAAATATGTGCACTGTATGTCAGCTTTGGTTGTGAATTTGTTTGAAAAAATAAATTGTTAAACAATGAAGGCCAGTTATTTTTTTATTATTTTTCCTGGGAAARGAGTTTGTATAGCCTAAGGGGGGAATTTGGTGCCTGTGGGAAAGAGAACAGTGGGCTCAATTTTCAAGATTTGCAGCTTTGCCAAGACATATGGGAAGAAACAAGAGTGCACCCCAAACAACTGTAGCCCTGGGAGACTCTGCTAGTCTTGCATGTGGGTTTTCCCATTCTTAATTATGCTTAAAAATCAAGCTGTGTGCACTGGTAGCTCTGCACGGGGATGAGTCGAGCTTGCTCAGCCAGATGTTGATTTACTCTAATAATTAAGCTTGCCTGAGTCATGTGAAGGGCTGTCTGTCCTCATTAACTTGAAAAGGCAAGTGGTGTGTGTTTAGTCAGCCTGTGCCTTTGGGAGCCCATCCTCTGCACATCTGCTGTGAGCAGGCAGTGCARGGGAGCCGTGGCTGCCTTGTGCTACTGTTTGGAAGTGAATTGTTTCATGTGACTCCTCAGACCCCCTTGTGATTCGCGTCAAATGTTTTCTTGGGAGTGTTTGTTTTCCAGACTGCTGGTGCAGCTCCACGAGTGGAACTGAGTGCTGGTCTTTGGCTCTCTGTTCTTTGTAGTTCAGGATGCTGTTCGTGTTTCTCATCTGCTGCGTTCCATATCCTGTGCATCTCAATGGTTTCCTTTTGAACCGGSTTAGTGCATAAACATCCTTTATTCAACTGAAGGTTCAACCTTTTTTTAAAAAGGAATTGATGAAACAATGTAGCTCTTGTGGACAATACACAGTAGATGTCAAATGGGTGATCTGAGTTTTTGTTCACGTCAACTGTTTGCAGTGAATGTGGTGTATTCCTACAAAGCAGACCCCATCATGCCTGCTCCTTTTGCCCTAGCCAGTATGTTGAAGGAGAGCGTATCAAGAGCACTGCAACATCTTTAAAATAACACATCCATCCAAATTCCTCCCTAGATGGTTGCTGCTCACAGGGTCTTAAACAACAGAGGAAATGAGGAGAATACACAATAAAACAGGATTAACATGTGAAGATTAGTACAATAAGATGAAAACCAGAATCTCTTTCTGTAATCACTCGGGAAACCTACTGTAGAGAACAGGATCATAGAATCACAGTTTAAAGTGAGGTCTTGGGAGATATSCTGGGACAAAATAGTCTAGACTGTTTTAAAAATACTTCCAGTTAAAAAAAATGAATTAGATTTCTTACTGGTGTGTGTTGTTGATCCTYAGCAAGGGGAAGGAATGGCTGCTTCCGGAAGCTGCAGTGTCTTATAAATCAAGGTAAAAGTGAGACATGAGCCAAACATAAYTTTCATTGCTGTGCCTTTGTATTGGGTTTTTTTTTTTTTTAAATAAATTTTCCTTCTCATCACATAGTGCTTTTGTTTCTTTTCTTGTTTAATGAGGCTTTGGGCAAGATTTTTGTTCTTGCCTTGCCTTGGATTTTTTGGTTTTTTATTTTATTTTATTTTTTTTAAATTTTTTAAATTTTTTTGTTTTGACAGCTGTTAAATTTTTATTGTTGCTTTGGATGCCCCTCAGGGTTTGGGTTACCCTGATGTGTATGTCCCTTGGCCATTTTGCCTGTGCAGACAACAAAGGCACATTTTTACTGGCTGAGCTTGATCTGCAATGAGCAGGCAGGTTGTGCATTGACTTAGTGACCCAAAGATCCCCATAACTTAGATGCTCTGTTTCTGTGCTCCCGTGGTACAACCTGCACTGCAAGTTGCTTGCATGATTTTGCATTGGTATATTGTATGAACTTTAAATTTCTGCCTTTTGCGATGTGTTATCCTTTTTTTTTTTCTTCTTTTTTGTTTGTTTCTGACGTCCTCTTGTTTCTTTTTTTTGTGTTTTGGTAGGCCTGGACGATTGCCTGCAGCAGTATGTCCATAAATTTGAACGAGAGAAGATAAATGGTGAGCAGCTGTTACAGATTTCTCACCAGGACCTTGAAGACTTAGGGATCTCACGGATTGGACACCAGGAACTGGTTCTAGAGGCTGTGGATCTCCTGTGTGCACTGGTTAGTTACGTGGTGAACAGATATGCCAAGAATTTCTTAAAGTGCTTTTTTGGGTGAATAACCAAAGCRAGATTGATAAAATCAGAATACCATTGTCTCTTGCTTTCTGTTGCACATCATGATAAAAGAAAACAATAAGCATTTGTTTAGGTCTTGCAAGTTTTGTATTAGTAGTTCTTAAACCTTTTCCTGATAAGAGGCAATTTTAATTCATTTGATTGCACTTCCAAAGGAAGAAGTTGTCTGAGTGACATTGCTAGATCACTGTTAGTGATCACAGATTATTGTTAGTGAACAGTTTGTCTCAGAAGACAGAAGACACATCGTTGAAATGGCAGGTGCAAGAAGTTCCTAAAATCAGTTGAAATGGGCTTAGGGAAAATGTGTAGCAAACATAGGAAGTAAAGAAAAATTAATTCTTGAAATGAAGGAGATTTAGTCACCTCCATTACAGTCTAGTTGAACTCTCATTGGATTCTCTGAGGAACTCAAGCTCTTCCTTTGTCCTACTCCTGATATATAACTATACATATTTGAAAACAAACATACCCTGGAAAGAATAAATACATTTTGTATTGTTTTACTGGTGCAGGCTTTATTTAAAAGCCATAGTTTGGTCACAGTCTTGAAGGTCTGTTTGATGTAATGCAGTGTAATGAGCACCAGAGGTATATATAATTACATCAGGGAGGAGGGTGACAAAGCCTACTTGATGATTCCTTGGCCAGCKCTGGCCTCCCTTCCCTTCATTAGGCAACGCTTGCAGCACTGAGCATACTCTTCTTAAAATGGAGAGTCTTTATTGCCTGTGTGAAATGTGCTCTATTTGCTGCAGAGAGGTGCCACAGAGAGTGTTCTTGCTCCATAACTTGGAGCAAAATATACTGAAAGAAGCATATTTAATGAAATATCTTCTACAATCYGTGATGTTTCTCAAAGAGTTACTCTTATACTTAAAAAGCGTTTTATTTCCTTAATATATTTGGTCTACCAAAAAGTTCTAACAATTAACTTGAAAATCTAGTGGAAGAATGTAACTAGACTGAAAAGCAGTTCCATGGTGTGAAAGGAACTTGTTGGGCAAGTGCAGGGATCTGATGAGTTAGTAAATGTAATGTGGTCCTGACTGAAGTGAGCTATGTGGCAGTCCCCAAGGGCACTTTTTTTATTCTCTTAAAAATATTAGCATAAAGTGAACAAAGCTGGACAACTGCCAGAACCTAAAGCTGTGTTTTATCTCCTACAATTTCCTTCCAATTTCCTTTGTAGACAAAAGTTTTGACCTCAGACCCATTTCTGGAAATCCTTTGTGAAACGCAGCTCAAGTTAATGCATTAGACAGATACTGCATATTACAGCTGAAATACCCTTCTTCCCTTTTTAAGAAGGGAAGGAAGAATCCCTRTGTTTCCAGTTTGCCCTTTGCCACCTTTTTGATGCCTGATCCCKTAAGGAATTGTATAGAATCACCATTGATTTTGTTTTCAAGGGGACACTAAACGCTAATGACAGCAAATTAATTTTTGCTGTTTCTTCTTTTTGTGCAAGAGAGAGGTTTCCTGATTTCACCTGCATTGGTTCTTTGAAAGTGGGAGTGTTCATTGTTTGGTGGCTGTTTTGTGCATATGCTGACACTTTCCCAATTTTTGGAATCTTGCAAAGGAACTGKTTTTTTTATTTTTTTTTYYTTWWKYTTTTTTTTCTTTTTTTGTTCCCCCCTTTTTGACCCCAGTGCCCTCCCCCGCCACTGTGCTGTCAGCTCACACTGTGAAAATSTGGCATTGGCTGGGCCAGCCTGACATCACTCTTTGAAGATTGTCATTCTTATTAGTGGAAAGGCTGAAAGGGGATTTTGGTGGTTTCCCAGTCCTGGTGTTCCYGAGAAGARTTTCCCCTTTTTTATCTAGTTTTGYCWTRGCTGTTTYCCAGCTGAGTTTCCTTCAGATCAGTACTTTGGTCATACTTCGTGCCACAAGAACAYGTGGCTCTAAAGACAGTGAGGCAGCTCTCTTTGGAACTTCTTTCTCCTGCAGTATCTCATTTCAAGCATTCACTATATACACCTTYGTTCCAGCCTCAGTAGATCAGTCACTAAACAGAGTGTGAGCATAGTCCATTCCTTGAGAAAGAACACCAAATGCACCTGATTTTTTTAATTTAGTTTTTATAGGGGTTGAGTACTATTTGGCAGCACCAAGCTAAAAATATGTCTGGAAGTTTCTGGTGTTGAAGAGAAATTAATGCATCTTTCTCTGCTCCTTTGGTGATGARGCAATGTTCCTTCATATCCTTGTAGCAGTGGCTGCATATGCAACATCCTGAAGCATCAGCAGGAGAGTGTSGGTTGGGATAAAAAATGAAGGTTTCCTCTGAGCGCGCATTTCTGTTGCTCTTGAGCTGGTCTAATAGAGTTCTGAATAGCTGTTGAAGACTTATTYGAGGAATTTAGAGGATATATCAAAGGACCTGAATTCCCCAGAGGGGAAAAACATCATGCACTTGAGTGTTTCAACTTTTTATTGACAGTATTTGCTGGAGGTGGGGGAAAGGGAAGGGATGGCAGGAAGATGACGTTGCTTTSTTGATTAAAGTATTTGGGGAAGGGGGGAACAAACATACATGACTTTGCTTTCCAAACCACAAAAGTAGGGACAGAAAACAAACTTTTGAGGGTTTAATGGATATAAAACAATTCAAGCATGAAACTATGCAAATATTTTCACTTTTAATGTGTTCTTTGGATTTGATTTCTGAGCCTTTGCCTACAGTGTATGATGGGAGAGTTTGGAAACAAAAAAGCAGTGGATTTTTTTTGAGATTAGAATGAAGATATACTAGTTAAATACAATTAAAAAAACTCCAAACCCTGAAAAAAACCCATAAACCAAAAAGAACGTAGTTGTGCCTTTAATAGTTTTACTGGTAGTAACGTTCTGCCAGCATATTTGCAGTATAACAAAATATAACATCATAAAAAGAAATAAAACATGCACACATGAAGACTTACCCTTTAGGTCCTTATCATTGTCAAAGAATGTCTGTGCACTGCCACATAAGATTTTAGTTYTYTAGAGGTCTCAAATTTAGTGTAATTTATTAGAAAATTTGCTACTCCAAAGGTTCTTAAGAATGCAGTTTTGTTAAAAGGAATATAACAAGGATGGGTGACTGTGACAGTGCCTTGTGTTAAGTCTAGTGTTTATAATGGCCTGCAGTGAGTTGGATYACCTTCTGAGCTGGCATTTGAATTGGTTTTATTCATTTTTTTTTTCCCAGAGCAGGCTTTCAATTTGATCAACAAGCAGGTCCGACTCATCACGTTGTTGCATGTGAACATGGCTGTGAAAGGGAAGAGGGCAGTGGTCTGCATCAGCCCAATTCAGCTTYGACACAACTGCTGTGCTCTTTTGACTTAAGTTAGCCATGTTTTTGGGTTTTTAAAAAWTTTTTYAATGTTTTTGTTATGTTGGCTGYCTGACYTTGAGCAWTTATTTGGTCAGATTATTTTTTCTCATTAAATGTGACAGAGTTTAGAAGGGGCGCRCTCTTGTGCGCATGTGCTCTCTCCTGCACGTGTGGGTGCTGCCTCTCCTCCAGCCCTGCATGTGGTTCCCAGGTTAATGAGTAATAACCTGGGAATGTTTGATATCGGGTGCTCTTGACCGCTGACTTCAGTGTTTCGATTAAAACAACTTTGATGTTCAAAATTGGGAGCAATAGTAAAATGTAAGCTTTTCTTTGGTTCATAAACAACATCTAAAACCTTTTGGTTGCTTAATTAATAATTTGCTARTTCTTGTAGCCCTGATCCTGTGGAAATATTTCAAGAAAAGCCTGCTAAGCTTTGCTCTTCAACTGTGTGTCACTGTGAAGGCTGCTTGGTGTGTTGCCACAATATCAGCATTCCTATCTGTCCTGAACTGGGGCTACAGTACTGTGACAAGTTAAATTAATCYAAGTCAGCTGCTGTCTCCACCCCCTTCTGTCTTCTGATTAGTGATCTTTTGTGCTTGCACTCACCTGATCCTGAAGTGAGCTACTTCAGGGAGCTAAACCAAGCGATTAGATTTCTTTGTATTGTCTAGATCTAAGACAGCCCTTCCAACAGACAGGACATTGCAAGTGAAGGAGCAGGAATAGTTGGGGATATGAAAGGTGGTCAAGACAGTTTGAGCTTGGATAGAAGCATTGCTATGTGTGGTGAAGGGGCAAAAGGCTGTGTATTACAGCAGACAGGTGAGTGAATGCTTGCCCCTGGAGCAGAGGCAGCTTGTGATGGGTTGTGATGACCCATATTTCTGCGAAAGTTCATCCATCAGGGCTGATCCACAGTTGGATAATTTGGTGTCTTGGTACTGAAGAGCTGCATGCCCTGTGTTGCACTGGGTAGGTGTAGTGCTTGGCCAGGAGCTTTCCTGGGGCACAAACTGCTGGTTGAGCGGTGGAGGTGCACTGTAGACTCTTTGGGGGAAGTTGTAGGAGAGCTCAGAGTGCCACTGTTACAGCTTGGCAGTGATGTGCKCTTGAGAGTTTGTTGGGGACACCAGTTATTCTTATGAGCTGGAGCCCCTGCGTCCCTGGAGGCAACACCTGTGTTGCTGAAGTCTTCAGTCTCAAAACTGAGAACTACTTGACAGAATTATTTAAAAACTATTTGAACTGGAAGAGTCACACCAGACTCACACATGGTGTAAATGAATTTAAAGAGGTGTGATAAGGAGTATCACCCCTTTGCTAAGGACCAAGCCCAAAATCTTACCTTACATGTTCTCTTACATGCTGGTGCATCCCTAATCTCAAATCCTCACAGCTGGTTTCTGCATCTGAATGACAAAAAGAAAAGCTGGAGATACTTAATTATGTGAAAACTCTCAAGTTCTGATCAGAGTGATTAGGTGGTTATACTGCTGCACAGAAAAAGTGTTTTCTGTTCTTTTTGAAAGCAGKGGTTCAGTGTCCTCAAGCTCCCCTTTTTGAGAGGAGGATTTCTGATATGTGGCTGCTTTCTTGTGGTCACAGGAACTTGCCCCACATCCAGACCTGTTTGTGATAAAGTATTCATTCGACAATAGACTAATATGCAATCTTCTGAGAGGAGGATAAAACTAACTGCAAGAAATGGAAAAAAATAAAGCTTTTTCTGGTGCTGGGATTTTTTTTGTGTTTTGTTGCTGTTCTTAAAAGGTGGTAAGTTCACGCATCACAGTGTTGCAAGTACTTTAAAGTTGTTTAGTAATCCAGTTCTTTCCCTTTCTGTGATGCTGGAAAATTTAAGGATATCCTTTGCTGTTGCAACAGTGGCATTTTTTAAAATGGAACATATCCTTTCAACCCCTGATCCTGGCTGCACTTTCAGGGTACTTCCTTGCCAAGAACCCTGAGGTTGAGGAGGGAGGCACTTGTGTAACTTAAACCCACTGGGATATTATCCATAGGAGTTTGTAGTGTTTTAAAGGTACAGTCTCTGTCCTTGGAGGTTTTCAAGATCTGACAAGGTAAAATCCTGAGTGAGCTGGTCTGAGCTCACAGCTGAGCCTTCTGTGAGCAGCAGATTGGTGTGAGGCCTCTGAAGCTCCCTTTTAGCCTGGGTAGTGCTGTGATCCTGAGTTGGAGGTATTAGGAAACCCTGGAAATTGACAATTGAGTGGAATTAAAATTTGCTTTAGTTGATTTAGATTTTGAGTGGGAAAKTGGTAAGAATAGATAGTATATCTGACTAAACTATGGAACTTGGAGGCTGGTTGCAAGAATCTGCATTACAAAAGAATGGAAAAGGGCAGTACTCTTGTATTTTTGTGTGTTTGTTTGTTCTGATGGGGGTGCTTTTATGTTATTTTGGATTTTTTTTCGATTTTTTTTCCTCAAGAAAAATACAAATTTGAATTTATGTACTTGAAGTTACAGGCAAGACTCCCATATTTTTTTTAAGGTTTTGTAAATTTTTGTAAAGATGCTGTTGAATGAAAAATATTATGTCTAAAAATGGGTTTAATTACCATGTATAATGTTAATGSTGTCCTCAGACTTGCAAATAATTGCACTGTTGTAGTCAAGGAGCACAGTTACTGAAAACTTGTGACCCAAATATTTACTCAAGCTTTTGATTGCAAAATTACATTTGTTTCCTCTTGATGTTTTCATCTCTAACCAGATTTAACTTATCYTTAGTTGTGAATGAAATGTTGTTTCAGTGTTTATTTACCGCAGGATAARAAACATTTTAAGAACAAAACAAGCTTGCTTTTCTTTAACGAAAAGAAAAACAACACAATCCTGTTATTAACAAGTAAATTATATCTGTTAGGACATTGGGACCTCATTCTGATTGCAAAGTGTCCTCAAATCTCATTGATGTCAGCAACTTTGAGGGGGTTTGTCTCCTACTAAAGTATTCATCAGTGGCCACAGCGTAGAACAAATCTTAAGAGGTATTTTGGCCAAAAAACATGAGAAAGTTGTGCAAATCTTCAAGACTAATGTCCCTTATGAGCTTTTAACTTGTGGTAAAACAGGAGAGAACTCAAGAAGAATATTTATTAAGCTTAATAATATTCCTTGCAGAACTATGGTCTTGAAACAGACAACATGAAGAACCTGGTTCTCAAGCTGCGAGGGTCATCCAACAATCTGCAAAATTACATCAGCAGCCGCAGGAAAAGTTCGAATTATGATGGAAACACYTCTCGCAAACCCCCCAACGAATTCCTTACTTCTGTTGTAGATCTTATTGGTGCTGCTAAAGCCTTGCTTGCATGGTTGGACAGGTAAGAGCAAAATGGTTATATTTTAATTTGCTGCTYTAATGAATTGCTTCTCTTTGTAGGGCAAGTCCTAGATGCTTGGGTAAAGATCTTGATGTCCAAAASCCCTTTTTCTGGTGTTGCTAGAAGGTCTCTAGTGGATAAATTTGACCTAGGGTATATATTCTTGCACTTCCACTCCTGCTAAAATGAATAAAACTGTCAACATTGCACACAAACTGTTACTTATAAAAGTAGAAGTGTCCCATTTCAGGTCAGTTTCTCCTACATGACTTTCCCACTTTGTAAATTACTYGTCATTGGCAGGTGCTTTCCTAAARGAGTTTTTAATGTTCTGCTGAAACCATGGTCTTTGCTGTGTGATTTGAAAACTGAGCAGCGGGAGAAGTTCTACTTCTGCTGTTTTGTTTTCTCTTCAAAAAAAAAAAATTAATCTTATTTCTTTTTTCTTCCTGGAAAGACCCAGAGTTATTTTGTGACAGCTGCAGCAAGTCAGGTGCTGGCAGGGCTGCAGTCCATGATAACAGATGAACATAAATTCTCCAACCCGTTGCTTCCTTTTCTGAGAGGGAATGTTGGGAGGAGAACTGCACAGGGACTGACAGCAAGGAGCACTTTTATCCTTTATCCTGCTCTCAAGCAAGGAGTTGTTCTGTGTCCAAGGCTGTGATGTTAACAGTTTGTGCTTCTCACCTGGTCCTCTCCTCTCATTCTGTTTCTGGCAACTCACACTAAATTTTTTTCTGTAACTCACAGTTAGCAAAATCTCTGGCTTGTCCATTTCCAAACCTGCTATGGTTCTTCTCAATCCCTTTTCTAGATTTTGCAGCTGTCTGAAGGGTCAGAGGTAGAGCTGTCCAGGCCYTAAAGCTGCCCTACCTATAATGATTCTTCTCTTAAGTCTCACTGCACCTTTGTGTGTAAAATGTGAAAATCCATTYTTCTTCTTTTAGAGAATTGGTGGGTTTTTTTGTCCAGTCAGAAAGCTGGAGGTATCCTCACTGGTAAACCCAAGAGTGATTTTTACAACACTGTGTTTTGACTTGAACTTGCAAGTGAGATTAGTGCAATTGGCAAACTGACGATTTCTTCTGGTTCTGCGCTCTGAACTTGCTTACCACAGGCCTAGACACTTCCCATTTTTGGTGCAGGAGTGGAGCAGGACTATGCAGTCAGGAATACTTGCATTGTAAAGCTGATCTCACACTTGTGTCATTGTCAGAGTTGGAGAGGTTACTCTCATATGCTCTTCCTCACTGATATGGTAGAATGGGAGAAAGCTAGTCCCTCCAATCTAAGAGGAATTTTCTCTTGTTGTAGGACCCCATTTACAGGTATTGCTGACTTTTCATCAATGAAGAACAGAATCATTCAGCTCTGCTTGGACCTCACTACTACTGTTCAGAAGGTCAGCTGATTTCTTTTCCTCTCTGCTTTCCAAAAGGGAAGGAAAGGGGGTGTTTGGGGAAGTGATATGCTTGCTGTGTGCTGAGTGCTAATGAAAGGCAGTTCTGGGAATAAGAGCTTACTTTTACCATTCATGAAGGTCAGTTTCAGTTGTCTATATTTCTGAGTCATGGCGTTTTTTGGTTTTCCCCCTGCCCCTCAATTTAATTACCAATTTTGGTGTTGCTGGCTCTATCTTAAGTGATTGCAGCTTAAAAGCTTCTCATATTTTCTTGAGCATGACTGGAAAGAGGTTTAGTCTTTGAGATAGTTGTTCTGCATTTGAAGATTTTCACATTCCAAACAGCATGTTGAAAAACAGTTATCAGTACTAACTCTGAACAAAAATACTGCTCCATTGGTTTTCATACCTGTGCTTGCAGACTCCCTAGATCTTGTCCCATGCAGAATGTTTTAGCCATGAAATGGGAAATGCTGCATCTAATGGAAGGAGCTGCCACCTTTATATTACAAATCCCACTAGCCAATCTGCTTCTGTCACTACTGCAAGACCACAGTGTTTTTCAAAACTTTATTTTATCAGCTGTGTGATGCGCGCATGTACATCTGATAGCTAAACAGACATGTAGTGACTGTGGCAATCTTGGCAGTTGACAGAATTTTACTCTCTGAATAATGCTGGCTGGCTCTCTTTGAGACTGTTCTGAGAGTGTGGCACTGCTTTGGCTGTGAACCACTGTGTGCACTCTGCAGTTACTGCCAGATTGCTCATAACCATTATTCCATGGCCCATGGTTTGAACTCCGAAGGACCATGCCCTGTGACACATGTGATTCCCTCCCCATCCTGAAGGGATGCTGTCCAAGGACAGAAACATCCTATGAGTTGTCAGTGGCACTTGTGGTGACACCCAGTTATGGCAGTTGTGTCATTGTGAAAGGGTGGTGTCTGGGTACTCTGGCACATGCCTGCTGCTCAGTGCCCTTCGTGTTGGGGTGCTCTGAGTGCAATTGCACAAAGTTAGCCATTTACAGCTACAGATGTGCAGATTGTGCAGTAGAGCAGTGTGTTTCTGGCAGCAGATGGTGTTCACACAAGAGTCTACAGGAGCTGAGATACGAGATTGCTGAATGTATTAATAAAACTGCTAAAAATGGTGTCTAATCATTCATTAGATCAGACTTTGATGGCAGGGGAGTGGAAGCTGTGAACACAACCATAGCCTTTTAAAAAGCCTTTAAAGGGCAGACTACTTCTCTGTGAATTTGTTATGAGCTATAATAGAGTGGGGTAAGATACAGGAATAAACAGTCATTTCAGAGTGAGGAAGAGGCCAGGGTGGCTTTCRTGGAACCAGTTGCTCTGCATAATCATAAATGATGTGTAAAAGTGGGTGAGTAATGAAGCAAGGCAGKAATGCAAGAAGATTCTAGTTAACTTTGTTGATAGCTGTGTAGATTCGCTAAGGTTGGAATAATAAATGGTGCAAACAGGAGTGAGTAGGAGCAGAGGGACTTTGCAATATTGAGCATTTTTACTGCATGATGTTCAGTGGCATTTGCTWTTGTTTTCTGCAGATGTATTTAGCAGAGAAAAGTAAGGGGAAGTCCACAAATGACTTCTCTAACATTACTCCTTCTTAAGCTTATTAAAATGCTTGGAGGTATTCTCCTTGTAGACATTGTAAATGTTGTTTTTTATTTACATKATGTTTTAACTTTTTAATCTGAGAGTAATATCTTCTCCAGTTAAGCACTTCTTGCAGAAAACAATGATGACTTCTGTAGTTTGTTACATGAACTTGTTTCAGTTCAAAAACTTTTATACTTGGCTGTGTAAATAATGCCTTGTGTGCAGTCCTCTACCCTTCAGCAATGTCATTGATAGCACATTTAAAAAAAAAATCACTTTCCATTCTATTTTTAACAGTATTCTTTAGATCCACTTGGATGCCTGGGACAGAGGAATACTTGAATTGGGGTTTATCAGTGAAAGACAAACACATCTGCCTGGCCTTCTGAGAATCTGATTTTATTTGTACACGGCTCTGCTTTTCTGGAAAAGTCAGCTGCTGTAATTGGATCCCACATTCTCTTAGTTTTCAAGGTTTATTATTGCTTTCTACCAGGGCCAGAAAATTGTTGCTTAACAGTCCTTTTGAGCCCTACTGGGTGAAAGTAATCTGGATAATCCCTGCAGCATGAATAACTCTATTTTATTTGAGGTTCAAATGGAAGTTTTGCAGAGTTTTCAGAGATGATTTGTTTGTAGGTTTATTGGTTAATGCACGGGTTTTGTTCTTGTTTTATTTTTAGGATTGCACTGTGGCTGACATGGAAGATAAAGTCCAGACTGTGGTAAGTTTGTTTCTCTTGAAACTCAGCTGTCTGCATTCACATTCATTTTGGTGGCTTCTATGCTGACTGTATTGGCAACAGTTTTTCAGTCCCAAATGTACAAGCATATAGTGCAAGTAAACATTATTATGAGTTGTTTTGTGAATATTCTCTTACTGTAGAGGAAATAATTGACATTTCAGCAGATGGATAGTGTGTGTAACAGTGCAGAGTCAGGCATTCCATAAAATTTCATTACACAGTTATTTTTCYAAGAAAATTTAAACCTCAAATTTTCATGGGAGGAGTAGAACTGTAGAGTGATCACAGGCTAAATAAACCAATTATGCCTAAGCATTAAGTACCTTAATAAGCAGACGCTCTGACTTATTATGSTTCTTCATGTGAAAGAAGTGCCCTGCCACAGAATTGAAGTTCTGGCTCTGCACTTGAGCTTAAGTTTCCAAGGCTGTTTGAAGCAGCCTTGTGACCAAAGGCAGAGTGTAATGGAATGCTTTTTATATTTTGTAACAGTTAATCATCRCTTCCTGCTTTTGACATGAACCAGGCTGTGCTCTTTGATAAGGCCTTCCGGTAGCTCAAAGATGCTTAGGAATTTAGTAGCACAATAACTAAAAATAATTTTGTTCATAAATAATGCGACCACGTAAAAGGGAGTTTTCTGCATCTTTCTTTTTCCATTTGTGCACACCCACACTGGAAGTGTAGGTATTGTTGTTTGGAGTTCCCTTGTTTGAGCAGTTCCTCACATTCACACTTGAAACATTGTKTTGATTTATTTTATTGCTGCCCTATAAATCTGACGTAAAATGAAACAGAAAACGTTGGAGCTATTGTTTCCAGGGACCATTATAATCCAAACCAATGTCTTCCTATGACACGGCTCCCTCCCATTCTGTAATTACATGTATCTGCTTTGACTGAAAGATTCAAGCCCCTTGTGAAAGGTGACTTACCTTGCTGCTTCCCAAACTGTTTATACCTACCTGTACTGTGTACTAATCCTCACTCCCCTCTCCTTTAAGCTTTTGTAACCTACTCTGAGTGTCAGCCTTGCTTCAGTTGATGTTGAGTGAAAACAGAGTGGGACATAATGAAATTTGTGAGTGTARAGAGGGCACAGATYTTTTCCYTTTTTYCCCYTTTTTYYTTTTTTTTTCTTYCTTTTAATATTTAATTAGACATTCTGATTGTTACATGTTCTACAAGACAAAGCCGTTCTGCCTCCAATTGTACTGACACACATGCCAAGGTCAGAATTAGCCTTTAGTTATAATGTTGGCTTAGGATCAGTTATGTTTTGGTCAAAAGGAAATATGAACCATGCCTGTGTAAGCATTCCAGAAGAGGTCAGTTCAGAGGCACAGTGRAGAGAAGTACTGCAGAAGCACTTAAGTGCTGGATTCCTACCTTGTACTGTAAAGGTTTGTGCAGATATGTCAGTGGCCAGCACATCACTTTTTGTGACACATGGCCAACTGTATTTTCATAGCAGAAATACAGAACAACGTGTAAAACTGTCAGTTGTTCCCACAAGGAAACATCAAAATGTTTCACTATTTTAATGGGTTGTTGTATTTTGCTTAAAGCAAACAAACCCCAAACCAAATTTTTTGCTGTACTTTGTGTGTTTATTTTTTTAGACCGAAGATGTGTCAGCATCTGTTAGCCMTGGTGAGGTGGCACTAATGGAAACAGGTTGTACTGTGTTACACTAAGGATGTAAACGTGCTGTGGAATAGATCTGTACAAATGAATCTTCTGTTTCAGTGGTTTTAGAACTCATTTTCTTTATGTGTTTTGGAAACTGAAAGAGAAAGAAGCCAGGAGAGAGTTTTGCTAACTGTTTTTTGTATGCCCTCATTGCAGGCCAAGACTCTAAATGGCATTTGTGATAAAGCCATCCGATCAACTACAGACCCACTGATGAGCCAGTGTGCATGTCTGGAGGAGGTCCACTTAACCAACATTAAACCTGGGGAAGGCCTGGTAAGAAGCAATTCTGGAGTGTCCTGATGTTCCCAGTTTAATAGGTAGCTCTGTAAGCTGATGCAAGTGTGTATTTAGAATAAGGTGTTTCAAAACTGMTAATAACCTGTGGGGAAAAGAAAGGCATGGGGAGGAGTTCTGAAGGTCCTTTTTTAATTGGTGTGCTGGAGTGGCTGCCAGCGACAGCTATGCACATTGATAAGTTTGATCCCAAATACAGTTTCTTATTCTAAATTGTTGAAGATTTGTGTATTAACCAGGATRTTGGAGAATTTACAAATCCTTGTGAAAGTAGTAGGTTTTTTTTTTTTTCAGGTTACTGTGACCACTTATTTTCCTAGAGGGGCTGGGAGAGGGAGAATGTAATGAGAAATTATGTTTGTGTTTTGAAAGATGTTTTTGTATGTGTATTTATAGCAAGATTGAGATGATTGTGAGAATTTTGAAGGTTTGCTATTATCAGGAAAATGAGAATTTTTAAGCGCTTGGTGGTCATGAAGTGTTATTGGCTTGTTCATTCAGTGGATTCTGATTAGCTGAGTGCTGGTTATGAGAAACTTAATTTGAAWTCTTAGTGGATTTTCTGCCTAGGGAAGAAATGTGTTAGAATGAGTTGGATGGAATTAAAATTTTTACGTGCATTTGTATTCACTTCTAGCCCTGAAGKCAGGAGAGATGAACATTTTTAGAGAAAGCTGCACAGTCTTACTGTGCTGTATAGTTTTACCTAGACCTGTGGAKTTGACTGAATTAGTCATGCATTCTTGAAATTATGGTAACCTCTGTTGATGCACAAAGCAGAGTCAGTCTAGCTTGTCCTAAGTAAGAAACAAGGTGGGTGCACACAATTCAATACTGACAGGAAAGCAAGCAGGGAATTGGCTGGAGAGGAAGGGTCCAAAAGATCACCTATTTTTGCACCTACTTTTAAAAACAAGTGTGGTAACTTCAGGCAGCTAAGCTGCTTTCAGYTCCTTAGTAACCTCCAGTTCTGTACTTCTCAGAACAGATGTAGAAAGGGAAAGTAGATATGTATTTGTTCATGAATGATGAAACCAATGTGTCTGGTCACCTCTTGTGGGGAAATCTGTTATTATTAGTTAATAGTTTTAATTTGGTGCTCTTACCATCAACACCCACTTCATCAAGTTTGTCCTTGTAYTCACACTCAGCATTTACATACAGAGCCACAAATACTCTGCTGGAGCTTTTAGTACTTATGAAAGCATTGTGGTTATGAGGCAGTCTGTATACTGACTTACCAAGAGAAGCTGTAGAAGAATGTGTCAGCAATATTTGTAGCCCACCTGTAAGCGTGCTCTGTGTGGAGAGAGCTGGTGGCCACCTAGTGAAACCTGTAATTCTCTAGTGCGGGCTTGGTAGTATAGAAAGAAAGTTCTGTACAAAGCCAAAGACCAACAAGRCAGCAAAACCAGCAGTGTTTGGTATTACCAACCAGACAGTGTTTGTAAATCTCATTCCAKATACTAGGTTTTTTTAAGTCATTATAAATATTATAACTAATTACAGTAAAAGTGATCTGTGAAGAAGTTTAGAGTGTTGTAATATTAGACCACACACTTTTCAAGAATATATGAATTGTTAACTGGTTTTAATAATTTTTTGAGTCTGTTGCCAACAGAGTTTTAATCAGATAAGTTGTGTGGTTTGTTTTGCCTTAAACTTGTTTTTCATTTTTTCCTTGTATTTAGGGAATGTATATCAAATCAACTTATGATGGATTGCATGTAATTACTGGAACTACAGAAAACGTAAGTGTAGTAAATGTGGATTAACTCAGACAGTAGCTTTGACCGAGTTAGTTTGACTTAGTACTTTTTGTTGTCTTACATATGACTTGCATGGTATTACTGCCTTAAATGCTGTGTGATGCATCATTTGCTTATCCACAGTTTGTAAATATTTTGTTCCTGCATGTTTCACTGTTAGCCCAATTAAACCAGTTTCTGCAAGTACACTAATTAGTTCAAATGCTTGGCATTACAGTAATTGCTTTAATAAGTTACTGTATCTGCTCTTTTGAGCCCTTATGGTATCTTGCTTAACAAAGTCTTGGATGTATTTGCTCTCCACTGGCAAAGGCAATCTCCCCTAATGGGAACATTTAGGTTGTAGTGTGCTAAACTCAGTAATGAGTAATGAAATCAATGAGCTGTCCCGTGACAAAATTACCTTGCAGAATAAAAAGACTATGAACAAGCAAGACTTTAAGAGGGGTCAGCTGGAAGGAAATAGTTGGCAAAAAAGGCAGCTAGTTTTTACTGCAGGTGGTTGCTTGTTTTATTTGTACACTATGAGTCCCTTGTAGCTGAGAGTTTATTGAAGGCTTCTGGGCAGCCCTTGAAGGAGTGGACCTCTAGCCAGCAGCTGAGGCTGGCAGGTGATGCTGTGGTGTTTTCAAACAGGCTACTGTACAGGAGCAGTGACTGAAAGGGAAAAGAGCGGAGAAACTTGGCTTTTGCAGCAGTGTTTTTTTGTTGGGTTTTTTTTTTTTTTTTGTGGTGAATAGGAAAGAACCAGTGGTTCTAGTTGTTCCCCTGCCAGGTCCAGAGACAGGCAGGAGAGGGTGGAAATTTGTGCTTGCAGTTCAGAGTGCAAAGTCAAGGCCTCTGGAAATTTTATGCTGTTGTCCTGGCATAACTCTATATTGGATCTGCCACAGAGACCAAGTACCCTTTGGCAGCAATTTTAACATCTGATGAATGTGAAYATAATGTTGACTGCTTACAAGCTGCTTCTGCATGTAGGTCTTTGTTTTGGGTCTGTATTCCTTCTGTAGCTTTGAGTGTTGACCTAAGTATCTACTTTTTTTATCTACACTGGTTCTTCCTYTGGGGAAATTCCTTCCTTTGGAGCAACAAAACTTGACAAGTGACTGAGAAATCTGTRAGCAGCTGATGTCTTTCTGGTGGTGTGGTATCATTTAGATGACCCAGGCTGGATCTTAGCTCAGTTATCTTGCTAGGTTTAGAATGATATTTTAGTAGCCATCCCCAGGAGCTGATGTATGGGAATGCAATGGAATTGCACCCCCAAATTGATAGTTCTGAGCAATGGAAGAACTAGGGAAGTCCATATACTATAAGCCAGCCAGGAAGATTGATAAGTTATGCCATCTTACATGTGGCTTTGCATGTCACATTGGCCTAGAGCTAAACTTTACTTTTTCCTCTGTTCTCACAACGTGATTCCAGTGTCTGTGCTGTGACCTGTCTGTCACTTGCTGCAGGAGTTCTCTGTGCAAGGGTCCCGTGCCTTCCCTCAGATGAGCTGTTGGTCATCCAAAGGACAGCTTGAAATGAGCTTTGTTTTTCACAAACTTGACTCTGTCCCAGCATTTTTTCATGATCTTGGTTGACTCCTATATATGCAGCTTTCCACAGAGGTATTTCCTCTCAGAGGAAGCAAGAAGACAATGAAGAAATGGGGTTACTCATGATAGCTGGAGCCTCCCACAAATTCCCCCATGTTTTCTTCCTTTGTTGCACTGTTTATTCTCACAGTTTGTTATTCTTTCTCATAACAAAGTTACTTGAGCTGTAAAGGTGTGATGAGGTGGAGAAGGGAGTCCTTAATCCCAGTGCTTAKTTCTGGAGTCACTGGGAAGAGCTGGCCTGCTGCCTGGTGGTTACTCATGGGGTGGGGGCARCGGGAGGAGTTGTTCTGTGACCAGGGTGCAGCATGTACCAAGGCAGTGTGTCTGTGTGCTTTGGGTGTTGTCGAGGCTGGTAGGAGTTGGTCTGTTATAGCGGTGAGAGTGTTTTTAATAACTGCAGCAAAGGCTGGTGCATTGCACCAGCTGTTGATAAATCTAAATATTGACATATTTATCCATTCCTTGCTAACGGCTTCCCAGAGCTTGGGTTTTGTTCCAAGAAAATTGTCTTTTAAAGTCTATTATTATTAATGGAAAGGTACATGAAAAATACCTGTCAATGCATATTTGATGTGTGTAAGCATATTTTTATCTGCTGACCTTAGTGTTTCAGGCAGGCAGTTTCATACTAAAGTAATTTATTTGCATTGGAAAACAAAAAGGGAAAGTGTGGCTTCTGGTCCTTTGTTTTGTAAACTCAAATTTTTAAAAATCAATATACATTTATTTGAAAGCTGTTTAAGGTGGTTGTTCTGTTGGGGCAGAAATCTTMAGTCCTCTCCCACTACTGTCTAAAACTATAGTAAAAACTGGAGGGAAAAAGGAAGTGGAGACTATCCCATGGCTTAAGTATAATTTGGCCTGTAACAGAGGGTGGCTATGCCTTCTCCCTTCTCCTTTAGTTCTGCCAGTATAAAAATAAATAATTATATTAATTCATTTACATTTCTCAAGTCATCAGCAGAGGTGAAAATTATCTGTAGGGAAGAGCATTGCTGATGCAGCCTTTGACTCAGCTTGGTGGGGGCTGTAATAGCAGGGAGGGAGACCTACTGCAGCACATGGCTCTTGTTTTCCTCTTTGTAGTCTCCTGCTGATCGCTCTCAGAAGATTCATGCTGGTGATGAAGTGATCCAGGTTAATCAGCAAACTGTGGTGAGTAACTTGCAGCATTACCAACCTTTCCTTATGCTTGCTCTGCACTACAGGTGCTGARTGGATGGGGTCAGGAGGCGGTTCTGTATTTTCCTGGTGAAATGTCTGAAGCTTTCTAACATTTTGTTTTCAAGACAAATTTTACTCTTTGCAATATTTTGATAAAATATATATACCTTATTTAATGTTTAAATACTTTCTGCATCATATTAAAGTAGTTCATGTTGCATTTAAGACCTGTTTTAAAGTGCCTTGTTACAATCCACTGAAATGCAGATAAAGAGCTTTAATAAGCTTTCGCAATAATTTTTCAAATGATTGTCAAATCATTTGTGTCTGGGACCTTGGATGTAATGATTACATTTTTGCTTAGGACAGGTAAGCAGTGCCTTCCARTGTGAGAAAGAAGCATGACAAAAGTAGTTCATTGTGAATCCCARTGTTAGTCAATTTGAGCATATCCATGCGTCCTTCTAAGACTGGACCTGAGGTGTAAAGAGRTATCTCTTGATACTGCTTGATATCTCAGCATTTAGTTTACAGCTTAAATAGACAGCTTTCTTGGAAACAAACTGAAGAACCTTGCAAACAATTAGCTTTCCAATTTTTTTCTTAATCCTTAAAGAGGCAGTTTTGGATCTCTTATCTCTTCTAGGTTTATGTGAAAACAGTTTGACTTGGAGGATTTGGGKTTTTCTTGTTTGTTTGCTTTCAGAAAAAAAAAATGCTAAAAAAAAGATGTCTTTATTCTCTTCCAGGTTGGATGGCARCTAAAAAATCTGGTGGCAAAGTTGCGAGAGAATCCTGCTGGAGTTAGGCTGCTGCTTAAGAAACGTCCCACTGGCTCTTTTCATTTCACTCCTGCTCCACTGAAGAACCTGCGCTGGAAACCACCCTTGGTGCAGGTGAGAGCCTGCCAGCTCCACTCTGATCTCAGGATGGGAATATCTTGGTTGCAACTTAAAAAAAGAGAAATCCTAGAAATGCTCCAGATGTTCCTATACTATCCTAGAAGTGCTCCAGATGTTCCTATACTCACGTTTGAGCATAGGTCAAGGCAGATTAGGCAAAATTGCTGTCTTCCTGTGGTCCCTAGATAAAAGGGGAAATGTTTTTCTCTTTTTCTCTTTTTTTTTTCCTTACAACTAGATAATGCCCTCTTGCTACACAAAGTGACTAGGTGTGCTGAACATTTTAATCAGTCTGTGTGCCACTGGGAGAACTTATCTGAGGCAAAACTGCTGATATGTATGGAATTTACCAGTGTGGAGCAATGAATAAATGTTTTCTCTATCATAGTAATATATTTTTGCTGAAATAACTTAGATTATTCTATGTATTTGTCCTCTTTTTAGTCTGGTGAAGGGTGGGAAAGAGTGCTTTTCAAGAAATTATTTAAACTCCTTGTTTAAATAAGATTTGGTTGTTGGGCAAGTCATAGATTGGGTACTGAGCAGAGAAAGCAATGTTATTCTTAAATAACCATGTTGAGGAACGGCTTGTTGTATTAGGAAGCTTGAAGCTTAATGCTTGCAGGAGGAAACAACCTAATTKAATTTTAAGCCATTACTGAAATTACAAAACCAGGGAGAGTTCCCACTCCTGCTTCTGTTCTGATACAGGTCTCCCWGCAGCTGTGGGGATAATTTAAACCTGTGAAATGCTGGTGGCTTGGTGAAGGCAGAATAGTCTTGGTGATGGCAGATTTCTCTCAAACTGGGTAGAATATGTGTACTTGACTACTCGTTTATCTTTCCTTTCACTAATGCCTGTGTCCTGTATTTGTGGCATTATGCCTGACATGTACTACCAGTGTGAAGAGCTGGGGTTGGTTGGCTTACAGGCTCTGCCAAGAACTGTTTCCTTGGGGAGGGAATGATTGGAGAAGCCCTTCCACAGTTCTGGGTTTCTGTGTAGTGACTGTGAGGAGGCAGTTGCTTGTGCAGGAGTGCCATTCACTACATGGACAGGCCCTTGACAAGATGAGGAGAGTGCAGTTCTCTTGCCTGACAAAGGTGGAAGGGTCTTTGAAACCTTTTCTCTCTGAGAGGCAGACAGGAGCCTGGAGATATGCTCAGAGTATGTGGAAGTGCACCAGAATGATGAGCAATGCCAAATCTATTTTTAATTTGCTTCCCTGACCCCAGTTATATCCATTGATCCAATTTATGATGTAGTTTACCATATTCCTGTCTATGCCCCAGGCACTGGATTATATGGAATAAAGGTAGCATATGCTGGCTTTACAAGGCTTGCAAATCGTATCTGTATTTAACAAATTGCATTCTTTTAATGCTTCTAAAAATAGAAGGGGGTTTTTTTCTCAGTTGCTTTTTTCATCTGTGGAATTTACAGGAAAACTAGAACTGGAAAGAGCAAAATATTCTTCAGCAATGCATTACACATGATGCATGTGGATTTCTGGATTTCTGTAGGAGTGCCTGTAAAGCTAGCCAAAACTGGGGGTGGAGGAAAATGTAAATTCTGAGAGTTTTTAAAGTGTTTATGCAGCATAGAGATAGTTCACGAGGGGATGAAAATGGTACTATTGATAATTATATTATCTTTTTGTGAATGATAAATGAATGTTCAGATGTTTGATAGCTGTCTAACATTGCAGACCAGTCCTCCACCTCCTCCGACTTCAACTCAGTCACCAGAAAGCACCGTGGATACCTCACTGAAGAAAGAGAAGCCAGCTATTTTGGATCTGTACATCCCCCCGCCACCAGCTGTTCCATATTCTCCTCGGTATGCAAACAAACACGCACTACTGACCAAAAAAACTCCTTCATTGCACTTGTTTCTGAGCTGCCTTGCTGTTAGAGCTCTGTGCAGATTAGCTTGAGGAAACTGCAAATCTCAGACTTTCTTCTAGCTGCCTAAATACATTGCTTAAACGTATGCTTAAATGCATACACTATCAGGATTGTAACAGATTGTATTACTAGAAGATTRTTGTGTGCCACAGAGTTGTTCCCTGAACCTGAACCAATGTCATCTCTGGTTTTGTTTTGGAGTTATGTTTCTGACACTGTTTAAATCCAACTGCACACAGCAAGAGAAATTTTTGTCTGTAACTTTTTCACTGTTGGATTTTTTTTTTTAGCAAGTTAACTGTTGTGGGAGTAAGGATGGAAAAGAATRTCATGTTAAATGGTGGCTATCATGTTAAATTTTTTAACTTGCAAGTTATTTGAAACAAATATGTTCCCACTGAAGGGAAGGGAGAGTCAATACACCAACTTTTTTTTTTTTTTTTATCCTGTGGTGTAAGCTATAAAAATGCAGACCTGTGTACACAGTGGGAGGTGGAGTGGTGTGTATGGTAAGGCTGACTGTTGTTTGTTCTCAAGTCCATGTTGACTCATGCCAGAGCCCTGCCAGCTGATCTGGGAAAGGGATGGAAAAAAAGAGTTTTCAGGAAAGACATGAAAGACAGGCATGCTTCCTGGCCTTCCCTGACACTTTAGGTTATGTGTAGATAGCCCAGCACAGAAACTCAGACCTTTTGCTGCAGGCCTTGTGGGAGGGCATTTGCCTCCTGTCATGTGAGGGCTGATACAGAGACAGAGGTTGTATGATTGCAGTCTTTAAGGCAAGACTGGGAAGCAGAGGGGCTCTTCACAGTAGGTCTTTTTTCTGAAGTTGGAGCCACCTTGACCTGCTCTCTGCCTGCTTTTATGGTTACCCATGCTCAGTTCTTATTAAAAAAAGCCCAAATCCTCAAATCTTTTGGCAAAATAATCATACATTTAGCACATGAATACCTTAGTCTTTTCTTCAAATCATTACATTTCAAGCACATTGTGAATTATGTCCATGTCCTCAATTTGTTTATCTTTCCTAAAGAGACACTAAATTTTACCGAGCTTCAAATGTCTTTAGACCTGAATCCCTATTGAAAAAGGAGTATATCACAATATGAGCTGTAAAACTTGTCCTGTATGATGTATGGAAAGGGGAAGGCATCTTGACTTTGACTTTTAAAGAAAGGAAATGTGATGAGTTGTGGCAGGCAAGAAGAGGAGAAAAGACAATTCTTTTTCCTTCTGTCTGGCCGTTTATTTTGTCCTCTGCGTGTTTTGCTTTTCTCTTGAAATAGGGGTGCATTTGTGTGATGGTTTTTTTACCCTCATCTCGTTCTCTTCCCATCCTGGCATGGGTCTCCTCTGGTCCACACTGGGAGGCAGAGAGCAGTGCTGGGTTTCTCTCCCCATGTCACAGTCTCCACATGGTGGTGGTGTAGGAGAGCTCTCCAYGTACACACAGTTGTGGTGTAACTGTTGAGTGCATTTTTTGGTGTCTGCATCTCCATAAGTAGCTCTTTCCTRTTCACTGAGCTGTTGCCTTGTTTTTGCTGGAGAGCTGGACAAGTGTGATGTGCTGGCCAGGGACTGCTGATAGTCAGCTGTGTGTTTTAATGCCTGCCTTGGCTAATGGTTGCCTCAAGCAATGGGGTTGTAGCATGTATAGGGAAAGGGAAAAAACCTCCAGGCAAATCTTAATTTGGAAGATAGCTTCTCTTCCAAAGGTACTTGCAGAATTTAACCAAAATCATATATATGTGTATATATATATACACACTATGAATCTGTGACTGAGATTCTCAAGGAGGGAGAGACAAGGTGATAAATATTCAGTGACAGTTATTGGACTCCTACAATGACTAAAAAGAAGTCCCTCAGATGGAGGTGGTTGGTGTTRCCATTACATAGAGATGGATAAATTTACGTAGCATTCCCAAGTCACAGCTGTGTACTGAGCAAGCAGTGAATCAGATGCCCTCAGGACAGAAAGGTTTTATTTATCAAAATCTTTTGCAGGAGTGGAGCTTCAAAAGTTCTCTGTGTGTTAAATTACTGGCTTGTTAAGAGGGAATTATCATGAGCGGGGGGTAGCTCTCTTTTCTCTTTGGTAACTATAATGAAGTCTTCTATCACCTGACTTGTTTGGGGTTTTCTTCCAGCTTGTTTGCAGCACAATGCCAGTTGTCACAAGCATGACTGGGTGCCAGAAGTATCTTTCAAACCTACTCATGTCTGTAGYGTTAAACTCTTTCAAGCCACTAACTGAAGTGACATGTGCTTTCAGAGATGAAAAGGGGAGTTTTGTGTATGGAGGAGGCAACAAACGCAGTCAGCCACTACCTGGCTCCAAGGGCGCCGAGTCTCCCAATTCTTTTCTGGATCAGGAGAGCCGAAGGCGAAGGTTTACTATTGCTGATTCTGATCAGTTGCCTGGGTATCCCATGGAAGTAAATATCCTACCAGCCAAGATGAGAGAGAAAACACMGTCCTATGGTGAGTTCATTCCTCTCTCATTATCACTGTTGTGCTGAGTGCTTTGGTCAGTCCGAAATTATTTATCTTAGAAAACGGCTCGTCAGACTTGATTGATATTAAGGATATTCTGTCCAAATTGTAAATGTGAATGAAATTCTACATCTGAAGTAATTTCACTTAAATGTTGTTATTTCTGTAGTGAACATCATTCAGCTGGGCCCTATTGCTACAGAAAGCCATTCCATGTGTTTTGGTTATAACATAATGTCCCCTCTTGCTGTAAATGAACAAGAGGGTGGCTGTTCGATCTCAGCACATTGATTTCTTATATGTCACCAGCAGAAGTATCTTCAATAACTTTGCCATTTGAACTCCTTATTTCTTATCTCTTCCTTTGTTTAACTGGGAAAATTAAAAATTMAAAAATTGGTTTCCTAAACTTTCTGTAATCCCGTATTACCTTCTCTGTTATCTCTAGGAAAACCTCGTCCTTTGTCAATGCCTGCTGATGGRAGCTGGATAGGAGCTGCAGAACCCTTCTCTAGGCCACGGGGATCAGGAAGAAAAGGCAAGGTTTTAGGTTTTATCCCTCATTCTGTTCTCTTCCTCTTCAAAATTTCCTTGGGGTGAACTGCATGAASGTGTTTAAATTAGGAAAGGAGGATTGTCGTTTGCATATTGCTGAACTGATCCAAGGTAGGCCTTTTAGGAGCTGCTTTTTACTGCTGCTGCTGTTAGAAAGCAACGTGATCTGCAGGCATCACTGAGTGGGAGGCAGACAGACAGAAGCTCATAACATTGGGTGCTAGGTTGGATGRCTTTTTTTATTTCCCACACTGTCCTCTTCCCACCTTCTTTTGCATCTGAAAGACAATTTGAGTCCTGTTAGAGTGGGAAATAAAGATGACTAGTTTATTCTTGGAATCATTTATGAAAGCTAAAATTATATGTACAATCAAAGCTGGATTCTRTTATTTTCATGCAAAAATAGAAGCTGATAACAAGAAGCATCAACCTGAAGGGATATTAGAAGTGAGCTAAATAACGAGTTTAACAGAGCGATCACCAGGTGGCAGGGCTGGTTTTTGTGCGTATGTTTTTTTGTTTGGTTTTGCTTTTGGTTTTGTGTTGCCTTTTTTTTAATATGTGAGTTGTACCTAAGTGCTGCAGGCTTGTATCCAAGCTGGACTGGATCAGAACCAAAGGCCTGCCTGGTCCAGTAGATGTCCAGCAGCAGCTGCCTTGGTCAGGTGTCTAGGGACGAGTCAAAACAGAAAGCATCACAAATCATTGGTCAAAACCTGGAAGGGAAGTACTTACATCTTCACCTGCAAAATTGATTTCTCTTGTCCAGAATAATAYTTGTAGCTTTTAAATTACTCACGAGTTACATTGAGAAACACATGGATTCAACTCTGGTCTCTTCAGCGTTTCGAATAACATATTAGAAGAAGGTTTGTTACATCTCACCCATGATGATGATTTGCACGAAGGCAGTCTGTGCCAGCATTTTTGGGATGTGTGAATCTGGAATATAACAGTCAAACAGTATTTTCTCTGTGTATGGAGTATAACAGTCAAACAGTATTTTCTCTGTGTATGGATTTATTTTGTTATTTGTTTTACTTAAAAAGCATTAAAGATGTAAAAAGCCATGTATCTATTGACAGCTGCTTATGTCCAGGTATTTTATGAACAAAACCCCAGATCTAGGTATTTGAAGTGTAAGCAGAAGACTTTTATAAAAATAGAAAACGTTAATGGAGGGTTTTGAAGTCAGCAGTAATTGGTTTTCCTCCTCCTGTTTGTACAGGTGACGATGTCCTCTGCAGGTACTTCAGTAACGAAAGGATACCCCCAATCATTGAAGAAACCCCCACCACACAGCACCCTCTCTCCAGGCCAGTGTCTGACAAGCACTTAGTGAGGGGAACGGATTATATTCGAGGCAGCAGATGTTTTGTGAATACAGACCTCCACAACAGTGCAACTATTCCTTTTCAAGAGGAAGGTGCTAAAAAATCATCGGTTACATCSTCCACAAAATCCTCCTCGACAGAGCCCTCGCTGCTGGTCAGTTGGATCACAAGACTGAAATTGTTGACTCACTGACTGCTGTCCCCAGTGCTGTTACCAAGTGCCTTTGCTCGTTGGTCAGGCTTCTCTACTTTGCAGCTTAACTGACACACAGTGACTAATGCAGTATTCTTTTCCTGGAGAATCTTACATTTTTGCCTTTTTGTTTGTCATTTTTGATGGATCAGAGGGTTTCATAATGCAAGGAGGGAAGAAAGATAAAGATCCAGTTCCTCTTCCTGGCCAAAAGCTGGAGGCATTTATTCCCGTGGAAATGAGTAAAATTTCAGTGAGGCAGAGGCCGCACATGACCTGGGAAATGCATAATGACTCAGAGGAAAGCAAAGCATTACTGTGAAGTCCAGTGGCACTTTAGTTGAATGCTCAGAGGCTGGTGTGACCAGCTGGGTGTCMGAGTATCCAGAGCTCACAGAAGTCGTGTCACTCTCCTGACCAGGACAGTAAGCAGGGAAACAGCAATTTTGTGCAACTCAGTGATGCTGTTTCATGTACTGCATAAGATCAGCCTTGTGAGGAAGAAGTAGAAGTGTTACTGTTCTTTCTCTGATGTCCAGAGTTCCTATGAAGTCTTAGGGAGAGAGTTCTCTTATTCAGAGATTTTAAGAAGTTGGACTAATTTAATTATAAATCAATCCAACCTTATATATAATCTATTTTATTGAAATCACAATACDAATAAGGAGCACTGAACAACTGCAGTGCTCATCTGTAGAGGTATATGGATTGCTACAACATGCCAAGGAAATGCATCTGTAGAGGTGGTAAAAGAATATATATTTTTCCTTAATTGTTTAAGAATGACTTGCTGTTAACCAAAGTAACCTTTTAAAGATAGTCCTGTTGGACTTACGAGAACTTTTYCAGTGGTTCAGTTTTTGAATGATGTGTTGTTTTTATGAAAGATATGTGCTATCATACACTACAATTGTAAGACATCTTGCTATTTTCTATATAGCTCTAATTTTTGCCCCTCCAGRATTTTAAAGTAGCATTGGGTATTTTGGGAGGAAAATAAAACTTGTTTAACAAAAGAGGAGGATATTAAAGAGCTATTGTTTAAGAAGGAATGTACATAAGATTGCTAGTATGCAAACWGTTGTGTTTGAAGTTATTTAAATGTTAAATATAGTTGTATATATTTTTACATTTAAACAGATATAGTTTCTACCTTCCTGTATTGCAGTATTGGGCACAGCTTAGTCAAATGAAAAGAAAATAAGATTTTGTATTACCTTCTAATTAYAAGACTAACTATTTTTGTAGATGGTACATTGCCAGCAGCCTTTACGCCTTTGGTCTTGCTATAAAGAAGGATTTATACTTAATAGTTGGTGGGGAAAGAGGGAAGTTAAATGCTAGTTTGCACTTTGGACTGGGGCAGGAATCACATGTGATAACAGGAGTGTTAAAAGCATGCTGTCATTCTGTCTGTGACGATGTGACCATTCTGCTGCAACAAGCTTATGAAGCTGCGTTACAGCCCCACAGAGAGGCAGGGTGTTTAATTCATTTCTCAATTAATTATGTTTGATTGTGATTCACTGATGAATGGGGGGGCTGGTTTGGACCTTTCTGATCAAAGCAAGTTATACTACATCTGTTTTGTGTCACTCTACTCCACTCCCTGAGATGGCATTCTGTGCTAGAGGCATGACCAGAACTGCTGCTGTGCAGTTCAACCCTACAACAGTTTGGTCCTGCCTCCARAGAAAGGGCTGAAACTGCCATGTTGTAGGCTCTGTGGTGTGGCATAGCTCAGCCTTAAATTGGCTGAACTGTTCTAAAGATGTTGTCTGAACAAGATTTTTAAAATGGAAATTTTCCTCATCTTCACTGTTGTTTTTTCTGTACTTTAAAAATTAATGGGGACCATTATGCTTAACTTCTTAGTGTGTATAATGAATATAGAGGATGCTCTACAGTTTAGGGATAAAAAAAGGTCCCACATATCTAGAAGTAAATCACAGCTGGTGTCTTTCTGGCTTAACCTGAGAAAAATTCTGCTATTATGCAAAAACTTGGCTCATCTTTTGATGTTGAAGATACACGTATCTCTCCTATCAAAAACTATGTCTAGGCTGACTTCCCTAAWGAGTGCAATGTACGTTTCCAGATGTCCTGCCACAGTAGAGTACTCCACAATACTCTGAATATTCTGTCATGGTGACAAAACAATGCAGTTAATTGGAAAAGATCATAAAGCCCACAAAAATGGAAAACTCATGCATATGTGTATAGTGAGGAATGTGCACTTTTGAAATCTTGAGCAGGCTTCTGTTTTAGTCTGTAGAAGATGTGAAAGCCAGTACTTTGGTTTCCTTTATATTACCATTGCAAGAAAATCCTATTTTGGATGGTGATGTGTGAGAGGAAATAAGACATAAAAATTAATATTAATGGCTTGTAGAGGCAGAGTTCAGGGCAATTCTCCAAGCAATGTGTTTCCTCTAGTGTTATGGACAATTAAATTAATCAGTGTTTGGATTCTGGATGACCAACAGAGGTGGACAGAATACTGAGAGTATTATACAAATGTTGTGCTAATGAGCCGATAACTTTTTCTTCCTCATAAGCAGGGCTTGTTTTAAAAACAACATGCTCCATATTCTTTGTGTTCATTGAACAGAAAGGGGAAGAAAATAAAAATCCAAAACTTAACCAAACCAGAAAACAGATGGTGAAGACTAGTTTTATAGTTGGAGAGGATAAAAAATTTTCTTCTTGCATAAATGTTCTTATTTTTTTTTTGCAAATCTTACATCCTGTTTTATTACATTGCCAGCAGGTAGTCTTCASAAACAAGCTCTGTACCTGCAACCACATCCTGAAAAGACCAAGTTAAACCCCTTATCAGGCTTTAACTTAGACCCTGATGATGAATTCAGCCCAAACTTTTTTTTCCAGGTTTTGCTTCTCTAGGAGCTTTTCTGCATTCATCATTCAGTTTATGGAATATCTTACACTTGATCTGGGCAGCAAGGCWTTTGTGTGCATACATTGTCAGAAATGCCTTTGCCAGCAGGATTGGTATCTYAGAGGAGTGTGAATGCTGGTTTCTGTCTTTGTTTTCTGCACGAAAATATTCTTCTCCCAGTTTCCACTGTACACCCTAGTGCACCATTTCRAAGTGTGAGATAGAAATGGTCATGGACAATTGGAGAGGTGTCCTTTGGAGTGTCCTGACTTTGTTCTGATGTCTTCTGTGTCTGTGGCTTCCTTCGTCTCTGTAACCTGAGCTTTACTTTGCACATGYTGTGGTTATGGAGCACATGTTCTTTGTGGCTGTCACATGGGAATGCTTTAGTCACCTTAGAAGCTATAGGGTTTTTATTATGGACAAGAGCTCTTGAGGAAGCCACTGACAACCCAGCATGTTCTGTGATTCACTTAAAATGTAAAAAGAGCACTCCAAAAAACCTGAGTTTGGAGAATGAGAAAAGAGGGGCCAGGCTAAGCTAAACATATGGGTCTGTGTTGTGTTGAATGCTGCTTCAGCTGCGTGGCAGTAAATCTGCAAAGAAAACACCCCACACAAACAACTGCTGTGTGCACATTTGTTTGTACCATTACACTGGTATGATGCTAGAATATGAAACAAGGGCAGTCGTTCAAAGTAGTTATATATAGCTCCACACGCCACACTTGAGCTGTGAGATGTATGACAAAAGCAGTCAGGAGCTGCTGTCAATAAGTAATTTCACCAAAGTCTGCTGCCTRTGCTGCTGCTGTATCAGTTTAAAATAGTAACCTCTCTTTGTCCTGTTTCCTTCACAATGCAAACCCAGCTCTCTGGCAAGTCCCTAACCATCAGTTTTGGGTTTATTTGTGATAGTTAGCAACTGCTGGTAAGATTGTGTCATTCCCACAGGGTTTCTTGCAGTGGTCCAAAAACTTAGTTTGGGTTATTGTGGACTTAATCCAAAAGTGGAAAGTCAAATTTGATAATGGTGTTACTGATCCAGTATCACTTGGATTTGGGATTTTTTTAAATACATACTAAATATGAAACAGACAGTTGTCTGTTTCACATACTTTGCCAGTATGAGGAAAAATGAGGATTACATACTTCATGGAGGAAAAAAACCCAGACCTCTGGGTGTCCTCCAGTTCCTGCCAGTGGGAGAAATGTGTTTGTTTTAGCATGACATAGAATAGATGTAAACATTTCTTTTTAAACCTCCCTGTGTGGTCACCTCAGTTATTCAGGATGATGTAAGCCACTGACTTTCTCCCTTAAGTGGTTATGAAGTTAACCCAGTATATTTTTTGGGGAGAAGGCAAAGAATTCTTTTCTAGGCAATTATGTGATTGATTAACAGTGTATGGAGACAGAGGAATTAAGCATAAAGTGCCAGAGAGTGCCGAGTTACAGGGAGAATCCTTGGGGTCAGTTTATGGTTTCTGTTTGCTCTTTGGGCCCTGGTGAGGGTGAGTGCATGGTGACAGCTCGACAGCAGCCAAGGAATCAGAGGGCAACTCCASTTTACTGTGCCATCTTCACCAAAGTGGGTTAGTTGCTTGAGCTGTTTTGTTGGTTGGTTGTTTCCCCCACCTACTGAAGGAGTGTAGACCTCCTTCAGTACAAATGAGCCAGAGTAGGAACTSTTGGAATGTACCTGTGGAGCAAACCTGAGAAGATCTGATGGAGCACTGGGCTGTGCTTGCTGATGGTGCTCAGCCACCCCCTGTTGGATGAGCTTGGGGAGGGCCTTTGCAGGTAAGGAGCCTCAGACCTTTGTGACTTGGCTTAGAGGCTTTTTTGTTTAGGCAGTATTTATTGAGAAGCATAAAATATGCCACTTTCTAAACTGATATTTAATGTTTTGACTGTGTAGTTAATGTTTTCTTTTTCCCAAGTTATTCCATGCTTCTTGGTGCTACTTATTAATGTATTTTTCTCCTTCATCCCCCATTAGCTGTTTTCAGTACAAATGAAATCCTCCCATATTTCCTGTGAAAATGTTTGTAATGCCAAGTAGTCACAAATGAGCCATAAAATTTTAATCTGTAAACTGTAAAAGAACCCCAATCAAACAAAACTCCAAAACACAGGAAAAAACTTATCTTTTCTGCCGTGTGAATAGCAACTTCAAAAATAATAATGAATAATAACAAAACTTAAGGATTTTGATCCAGGTAAAAGATCAGCCAGATTTTAATGGCTGCATCTTGGGTGATTTGATTTTATTACATGATACTAGAAAGTAGGGGCTGTARTTCAGGTATTGCAGATTCTTACAGAGCAGCTGTGATGTTCTGTGTCTCCACAGAAGATGACCAAAGGCTGTCTTAGGTGTAACACAATTCTAGCTGAGACTCTTTGCCAAGCCCACTGAATGTCCCATTGAACACACAGAAGTCTTAATATTTTCTGGCATAGTCCTTGACCATTCTGTTTTCTGGCGGGAAGTTGGTGTAAGTTCCTATAAGTCAATAGGATAAGTACAAAATAAAATTATGCCCAAAATTAATTATTTCCCTTTTCATCTGTTCTTCTTCCTCCCTGACCTCCTCATTATATTGGGGCCAAGGGACTTTCCAAGAATTTATTGCACAAACAAACAGCTATAAAGCCTTTAATATTTATAGCAYAATCAGTTTGTTTTGATGTCTGAGATAGTTTTGGCCAGAGCCTTCCAGCAAAAATAATGCTGCCCACAAGAAAATATTTCCAAGCTCTTGATTCCTTTAAGAATTCCTCTCTGCTTTGTAAACTGTTGGCTTAGACTCTACTTTGAAGCTACTTAGACCACCCCAGGCAGTCCTTGGTCCTTTAGGTCTAAACACATTGGCTTCTTATYACTGGTTAGGAAGAAAGGAGTGTTTTTTCTCCTTTTTCAGARTTTTGTGATTCTGGGTTCACAGGTTGCATTGGAGAGATGAGGGTGGACCTCCTTCCCTTCCCTGTCTGCCCTACCCTGTTGTCTGTGCAGGTGGGGTGGAGGGACGAGAAAGCAAGGGGAACCYCAGCAGCTGAAGCAGCAGCTCCTCTCTTCCCTTCCTCCTGCTCAGGAGATGACTGACAGGCCTCCAAATAAAAGGTTAATGGCACAAGATACGTGGTTTGCAAAGKTTTTTTTTTTTCCTGGGGAGCTGTGGGATCATTGTGGAGGGATGATGTGTTGGCAGAGGGAATGTGAGGGAGCTGTTAYTGAAAAAACAAAAAGGTTTGGCAGCGTATGAGTGCCTGGTATGGCACAGTCATGTTTCACCTAGTGCTGCACMGAAAGGCCTTTATTAAAGCCCAGTGGACAAGGGAGCTGGGGCTGTCTGGGAGAGGCAGCGAGGCAGATACCCCGGGATGCTCTGGCATGGGTGGATCTGGCCACAAGGAATGCATTTGACCAGCTACTGAATGTGACTGGTTGTTGTGCTTGGGATGGATGTGGTCTGTGTGGGAAATAAAGCTTCTGGCAGGATGTGGAACAGGCTCAGGTTTCGGCAGCGTGACTCATTYTCCCAGTGGTTGACCAAGGGGGGAAGCTGTGATGGGCAGTACTCTGCTGTCTTGCTTGCTATCAAGAAACATCAGGGAGTGAAAACAAGCTTCACCAGAAATTTGAAGTTCAGAAACCCTGAACCACCCATGGTAACCAAAGCRCATGACCTCTCCCTCAGCACATTCCTGCAAATGTGGATTTTTCATCTAGTTTGCAATGAAGTATTTGGTGTGTTTTCAAACTGCCGAAGATTTCAGGCCCCCTCTGGTCTCACACAGTGCTGCTCATCTGAAGAGAGACATCTTGGCCAGGGAGGCTGACTCTGKCAGTGTTGACTTGGGCAGAAGCTGAAAAGTGAGAATTGCATCACCCTGGCTAGTGTGATACAAGCTCTTTGGGTTGGATGTGTGTGACATGTCTACATTTTAAAATGAGTTGGAAGTCATAAAATCACAAAAGCCATTAGTGGGAGAAGAGATGCTGCTAAAACACAGTCCTCTGCTTGCTTTCCGGTGTTTGCCTAGTTTGCAGCCCTAAGACAAAATTGCAGGTGTTGCCCTAGTGAAAAACAGCACATAGGTGACCCTAAAGCAGCACATAGGTGACCCTAAAGGCTCATATGTCATTCAAAGCACAGGCCAATCAACACTTCTGTTGTGTTTCTCTAGGTCTTGAGTGATTTCTGGTGGTGACCAGTCTGTTCAGTCTGTTGCCACCTTCTCCTTTGCTCAAGGTGCCCTTGCTGAGCACCTCRGGCAGTTTCTGCATTGTCACACTCCTGTGCCTGCAGAAGGCAGTGTTGTRCTCAACGTGCTTGTGCTGCTTTTGTACTGGAGGTTAAATAAGAAATCCTCCTGCCAAGTAAACAGGGCTCGTCTGGCAAGAGGTTCTGTCCAATGCAGCACTGATTGCTTCTTCTACTTTTTGTGACAAATCTGATTGGTTTAGTAGAGCTGTTTCTGATTTGTGACTGAAGGGGTGAAAAGAACTTAGGGTCTTGTTGAGTAAGAGGAGTCAAATGAAYATTTGAACAAATTAATAAAGGCCAAGGAAACTAGGGAATTAAAGCCAGGCACTAATTCTTTATCTGGACAGTGCTAAACAAAAAATACACCAAGTAAATGTGTACATGTTTTACATGTGTACATTTGTTTTACATTTCAGTCTACCATCTGGAAACTTAATATTATTATTCCCCTACAAGTTTCTAGACAGTGAACTGCAGSTAATTGTGGGCTACTTATGATCAAGCTCTGCTGCGTATTGTGCTGTTGTATTTTGGGAGACTGCTTGCAGTATCTGCCTTGTCTGTTCCTTCCCTGCCCTCCCACTCTAAAACCAATGTACATCATGTCAGGTGGCTTTCAAAATTATAAGCTTATGACTGGATCCTCTTTTCACTGTCCTATTCAGTTCAACTTTTGAGAACAATATGGAATGTATTTTTAAAGACTGAAGATGCTGTAATACTCAGCACAGGTAGATGTAATTATTGATAGATTTGGGAACTGGAGCCATCCTAAGGGAACAGATACGCTGCTGTATTTAAGAAGAAAAGTTGTTCTTCAAGTAGAAATTGTGTTATGTACTTGGACTATTAAATACACATTTGCTTCAGAAATGCACAAAGCACTATTTGTGTGCCACTTAAAGTTCACATGGAAAAGCTGAATCATCCAAGCCATCTGAATGATGCACGCTACTTGGTAGTTGTTTTCTTCAGCAGGCAGCTGGTGATCTCTCTTCCTGTATTTAGGGCTTGGGTGGGGGAGGAAAAGGAAGACAGAAAGGACTCTCCAGGCAGGGGGGGAGCTCTGTTGCTTCACATGTGCATATTTTACGGTTTTCCTGAGATCTCTCTAAATTCGTGGTAAGTTAAAACTATATTCAGAGGGTTGAAGAGACAATAGACATTACATCTAGGTTATAAAGTGTTTTTATTTTAAAGTAATTATGCTCTATGAACTTTTTAGGTATGATTTGCTCACTCTATTTCAAGCAGTTCTTCATGGGGGATGACATGGGGTGTGTGCTAGAGCTGGGGATCCTTCAGACTTGGTAGCTTCTGTGACTCCTGCTCTCTTCTTGAAATGAGGAGGTGAATTGTGAGAYTTGTTGCCTCAGTCACCAGCCAAAAAATGGTAACTCAATTTCTCTTGTGCTGCCCATGCTGTAAAGTTAACACACAATTTACATGTTTGCGTGCTGAAGCTCAGTGGTGGTGAAGGGCTGTTTAGTGCTGGAAAATCTCCCAGCTAAGGAGTGGGACAGACATGTGACAGGGCTGGGGGAGCAGTAGTTTTGCAGACAACCCCTCACATACTCCCTGCAGCTATATCCTTCGTTTTCCACATATAGAATGTATCTATTTTTTCTGTGGGATATTTTGTTTGTATTGACATTGGTGAAGAAGTTTTTATTTTTTTTTTTTTTAATGATCTGTCCCTTTATTACAGTATCTTACCTATTTAGATTGTAAGATATTTTTTAGCAAGCTATGTCTTGTAGTTTTGACTTCCTGAGTGTTCTGGGTTGGGGATTTAATTGCCCTCTATTGTACTTAATAGTGCAGTTCAAAGGATCTAAAGAGCAGCGGAATGGAAAAAGCAATGCAGAGAGGCTTTGCCTTATCTTATTTGCCTGACTTTTCTTTGGGTTTTCTTTTCCTTTCCTCAAAGCTGAAGAGGGACACAACCAGCAGGCATTCAAATCTTCCTTTGAGCCTAAACCAAACTGTGACTGTGCCAATATGACTAACGAACTGCCTGGGAACTGATGGCAAATTGCTTGTATTTTTAACCAACACAGAACAGAAAAAAAGGGTTGGGGCTCTGGTTCTCAGCAGATTCTTTARGAGAGCCTCTCATTAGCTGTGCTAGGGGGGCACTTCCATTCCTTTTGGTGACTGTCAGTGCCTACAGTGGCCTGAAGTCCTTACCCACAGCAGGTGGTTTCAGTGAGGGTGCAGAAAACATTGGCCTTTGAGAAAATATTAAGTCAAACTATTTTGCATTGTCTGAAGAAAAGATGACTGCATTGGTATCATAAGAACAAACATTACAAATTCATGTTAGAAATTTATAGGACAAGAGACAATAAGCATAAATTACAGCACAGAGCTTGAATTTGGTTGAAAAACCTGATGTGAAGGAGAGTTAAGCACTGGTTTAAGATGCTGAAGGGAGCTGTGGAACCTCCATTATTTGATGTCTTTAGGAACAGGTTAGGCAGCCTCTGTCAGAAAAAGCCCGAGTAAATTGATCCTGCTGGGAGGGACAGGCTTAAGATCTCTTGATGTCTCCACAACCTTATGAATTTGCAGAGATGTGAGCAGGCTGTATGCGATTGTGTCCTGGTAGAGCTCATCGAGTGCTTTCTGGCCTTTCTGGATAAAAGACACCATACACACTTCACCATAGCCCTAGTGAAATTTGGAGGTTTAAAGGAGCCTGAAGCAATCGAATGCATGAGAAGATTCAGTTCAGGGGCACCACACATGAAAGAAGGACAGGKAGCAGTAAGATTCAGAATCACTAATTTTGCAGTTTTGTAGTTATCTGGAGTAAAATCATCATCTTCTAAAATTACCATTGTCATTCCTTCAGTCAAGGCACTGCAGAACAATGAAAAAACAATGCTATTTGTTTTGAAGAATTAGTGAGTTTTTCCTCTTAATAGAAGGAAAGTGTTAGGAATGGTGCTACGCTTTGGAGTTTTTGAGGGAAAGCATATTGATAGTTCTAAAATATAGTTTGGCCTTTGAAAATCAAGACAATAGACCTACAAAATCTGCTCTTTTGTGCTGCTTCCTGATAGAGCTTGAAAGACATATCCYGGCACCCCTGCCATTTCTAATGTAGCTTTTAATTTTTAAAAAGGAAAATAGCTTGTGGACAGGTAGGGTAGCTCTGTGCTTATGGGAGTAGCTTATTTCTGTATGTAAGTTCCTTGTTAAAACAGGCTGTGAAGCAAAAATGTACCCACCTTCATSTTTCAACCAATGGGTGGCCCAGGGATATGAACTTTATGGGGACACACACAGGTGGCATTGTACCAAGAAAAATAATTTCTCACGCAGTGCAAATCATCAGTGGCCAGAGTCTCCAGAAAGCAGCAGCAGATGTCCTGAATATTTTGACATTCAAGTCTGTAGAAAACTCCAAAGAGGGGGAAGTGAAAGAATGGTGGCAAGTCTCTTGCAAGCAGTTTTAGGGATGTGGGACTTCATTTGCACATGAGTGCGACAGCTCTCTTCAGCAAAAAGCATGGTGGGAAGTGGGATAGATTTCGTCTTTTCTACMACTCAAAGGACTGAGCCATCTGCTTTTCCATGTCGTCAAGGAACAGTGTCTGGTCTGCTGGCTTTATCTCTTCYGTGGGCTATTTACTCTTTCCATAGGTAACACAAAGGCTTCTTCAGACCTGTAGTATTGCCCTCACTATGATTCAGTGTGCACGTAAAGCCAGTAGTTATTTTAGGAAGCAATAGCTGAGTCTGTGCATCAGATTTCCAGATACATTTTTGGGCAAGTTTTCAGATAATCCACTTAAATGCAGTTAAAATGCTTTGAAGATATCAAATGCCACATTACTGATAAGCACTGATTAGTCATGCAAATAAATGGAGATGTTTTAATTAGGGCAAAATCAACATGACTTTTACTGTGGAAAAGAGCCTGTGCAAACACATTAAATAGGTAATTTATTAGTGGGAACAACCTGTGATTAAGGGTGCTGTGTTTTAACTTCTCGAGGAGAATAATATACTTAGCAAAGTAGCAATGCAAGAGAGTAACATCTTGATAAGCTAAAAACCAATAACATCTGTTTTTCAAAGTATTCATAAAATTATAAGTTAGGTATTTGCCTCTTTATGTCTGCTTGAGCCACAGTACAACTCCAAGTAATCTACTCCAATGTACTGCCTGAAATGTGGCAGCCTTGCCATCTGGTCAATCTGAGAATGCTTACATATCCTGTGGTGCTATAGTAGCTTTGTTCTAGGATTTGTCGTCACTTTTCTGCCAGGACCCTTTCTTCTTGCAGTAATTTTTTTGTGTGTGCCTGTGACCTGCCAGCACCCTGACTGGGAGTGACAGCAAGTGACTGGAGCGTTTGCCACGAGGCCTTCTGGTGTTATGTAGGTGTGTGAAGTGTTACTGGGTCATTCTATATGTACTTCAGAGTCACTTTGGCATGATTGTGCACTTATRTGTAAGGTGAATAGGAATGGATGCTGGGATCAAGGTACTCTTATGCTACACTTGCTCAGGAAGGCTGCTGAGAGTTGGAGCCAGACCTTTCATGTTCTTGGATATGGTTGCACGCTGTGCTGTTGCTTTCCTTGGAATCAGGATAGGGTACCTCTGTGACRAGGAATGGAGCAGAATATCAGACTGTTGTTACTGATATGTGTGTGTTTATCACCTTTGACAATATATCTGGGCAATGTRAGTGATGAATATTTGATAGACTATGGGAATACAACCCTGAAATGATTCCTTGTCTCTTTGTTTTTGGTGCCAGGGCTTGTTTATAGTGRAGTGTGCCAAAGTTAACCTCCAATTAAAAATCAGGAGAGGCAACAGTTTACCCCATGGTAAACACCACGTAGTGGCTCAATTTACTCTCTGTCAGTTAGTCACAACACCCACAGTCTTTTTAATTTATGACTAAAATGCAAAGGTGTAATGTAAGTGGATTTTCCAGTCTGGTTTCCTAGTTCCAGTGGAATTTGCCTGAGCTTTATGTAAGTATAAAAGTATTTACATGTGTGTATGCCTGTGGGWGTGTGTATATAACCATGTATTGAATTCTGTTTCAACTACCCCACCGTAATATTTATTAGAGATGGAATGGCGTGACCTGTCAGTTTCAGATTTGCTCTTTTACCTTTGCTAAAAACCTTCCAAAGAGCTTAGGCTTWCAAACTACAGTCAAGGAACACAAGTCTGTTGTTGCCATATTTCCCTGCCCACACAGTCCCCTTTCCTAAAAAGAGGATAAAACCARACTCAAGGGAAAGCTTTAGTGAAACACCTKATGTATAACTTCACACTTTATGCCTATAGGASTAGTATTTCTCTCTTTTTTTTTTCCCCCTTAAACTGAGAATATGCAACAATAAATTTTCACAATCATGAGGTTACAATGCCTAGTGAGGTAGGTATTTAAAGTACCTACAAAAGTTCAGTGCAAAACCTATTTTTAATCATTGCAATTCTCCTTCTAGTGTAATGGTTACACTCCAAGTGCAGCTGTGTCTGTCTCTGCCTTTTCAAAAAGAAGTCAAATTTCATTTAGAGTTGTGCTTTGAAAAAAACCCAAACAACTGCTGTGACTTCATGACCTTTCTAAAATGTGTTCTCTGCCTTTTAAATAGGGACTTTCACTTGAAGGAATTTACARCAGATTTTCCTCTCAATCCTTCACACTTAGATCTTGGCTTCATTCCAGAGTGTAAAAACTAGATTTGTAATTGCCTTATTTACAAGGTAGGGTTTTCCCTTCTCGTTATTTGCTTAACTTGGCGGAGTGTAGACTATCAGGCGCCACTTAACCTTCTTAAAAAATGTTTTATTTCTCTTCTTTTTCTGATAAATATCTATTTATTCTCCTGGAAAACCATCAGAACAGAAAAATCAGATTATTCTGAATGTAATTTGTAGTATGAGACTGGGTTTAACAGAAGGGAAGAAACTAGATAAAGTTGTCCTCTATTTGATTAGTAGACAATTTGACTTAACATTCACGTTGTACTTTTTTCCCTGAAAATTACAGACCTAGATAAAATTTGGGTAAAACAGTGGTCTGAATTTTCATTCCAGGCTTTAAACAAGACTCAAGCATGGTAAATGTTCTGGGGAGCAAAACCATTACTCCCAATGGCTTATGGCTTGACTCTGTGGGTTACTTATTTATTTTTACCTTCAGTCTCTGCCTCATGGATACCTGACTGGCTCTAGAATATGTGGAGACAGCACAGGGACACTTGTCAGGGACACTTATGCTTCCAGGACATCCTCAAGCCTTTTGCTCCCAAATGTGCCATCGTGTGCTCTTTGGCTTCCCTGCTGTCCAAAACAGGTCCCTGTCAGTGCTTTACTCTTCCCAATGATCCTATCAGCAGGTCCCGGAACCAGCATTCTCTTTAGGAAGAGAAAGTTTATGGGGTGAGAGGGAATATAGTCCAGGGACTAACAGGCTAAAAGAGGGATCCTGAGTGAGCTGGTTATCCTCCCATTGTCTGTCTTGGGACCCTGATAGACCCTACATCAGTCTCTGCTGGTTTTGGCCAAGATGGTTTTGCTTGGTTTGGGAACTTCCCCGTGAGCATGCAGACAGCGGGTTCACATTACACATTATCCAGATTTATTTCAAATGGATCCATGCAAAAAGCTAGTCCTTGTCTGGAATTTCTGGCCAATGTTTTTTTGCCATGTTATTTAACCTTTTTGCAAATATTGTGTGAGCAGCTGGCACTTGCAGTCTGACTGTGATGCCCTCAGGGTTTTATGTGTGTGACTGCTGTAGGAGGGCACCACAGTAATTTCTCAGCTGGTTGGGCTGCTGAGGGCATGTCAGTGGTGACTAACCCTGGTTGGATTTTCTAGTCTACTCAGCCCTCTCTTTCTTCCTATCTCCAATGGACTGTGAAAATATTCTGAATGTTACAAATTGACTTGTTTGTGACAGTGCAACAGGCAGATTATTTATCACAGCCTGGTGTACAAGTCCTTAGGRAAATATTTTTTTACATGGTTTCCTACTTGGGGTTTTTTTATGGCATTTGACTGCTTGGCTGAGCTGTGTGGGTCTCTGCTCCTTACAAACTTCTGCAGTGGGAGAAAGATGTTTTATTGTTCTGGGTGGATGAATGTTGGTATTCGTACAAAACACAGACTGTCTAGTCATGCACATTAAAAAAAATCCATTCCAGATAATGATGACAAAAAAAGGAACATACATAMRTCAAATAGGTCATATTCTGTAAATRCAGACAGTAGATGACTTAGGTCTTGATCCTGCAGGCATTCATCAGTGCGTGAATACATTTCTGTAGCACTGTTGACTTTCAGGACTGCTCAACTTCGTACGATTAGTCCAAAGGCTATGGAATACCCGTAGTCATTTTGTGAAACTCATCTAGTTTAAAGTGTTACCATCTTCAGGCTGTGGTCATAYATATTTTGTATTTCCTCACTGGGGAAGGCCACCCCAGTCACAGAGGTGACTGTAGCTGTTAACTGGGAACTGGTAAGCTGTGAGTGCAGGTCCAAGGGCTGCTGCAGCCCTGCTTTCCTTCTTGCATCTATCTTGCAGGAAAAGGAATACCGGGGTGGAGAAAGTAATGTTGAACTCTCATACTGTAAAGTTTTATAAAAGTGAATACTTTCAGAAGTGTGGGGCAACCAAGAACAGCCATGGCTCTTTGTGTTTCCTATTTGGGTTAATAGGGTGACTGACATTCTATACTGTGTATAGCTTATTGCAAGATTCAGGTGTGGAAATTCTTATAAATGCCTTTTAGTTTGACATGAGGAAGGAAATGTAGAATGGCTTGTTTGGCCTCATCTGTGAGCTAAAACAACCAAATAAAAAGAGGACTTCGGAGATAAATCACTGTTTAAAACCATTCTGTTTAAAACCATCAAAARCAAGATTGAATTTATTAGATAGATATAGTTATCTTTTTTAAGAAAAGAGATTTAAAGCACATAAATGTTCCATATGGTTCCAGTGAGCACTGATAGTATTTTTAACTATACTTTTTGATATCTTGAARGCTTGTGAGGTGTGCTTGTGTCTCAGCAGACATTGAGCTGATGCTCATTCCCACACCATCTCACTGTTGTTGAATTGMCTGAAATGTGAAAGTCCAGATATCTCCTTAGGGAATGGTCTCATGCTTTATCATGTGCATGTGTATTATCAGAATTCAGCTTTGATTGATTTCATGCCAGYGAAAAATAATGTGTAGCTGAGTGATAATGGAAACCTGGATACAATTAATAACAAGAGAAGAACTTGAAGGGAAAGAATGAGAACAGGAAGCCTAATCTTCAGCTTTTCTATATATAGAAAACACCTCAAGGGTAAGCACATACTGTGTTGTACAAATACATTTAAAATGTGTTTTGTAGGCACATATTTTCAATGTGTTGTCATGATCAGAAACACATGTAGACTCTGAGAAGTTATGTGAAGCATGCAGTGCCCTTCCTCATGCACATAAGTAAGAGTTATACACAGCGTATATGTGCGTAAATATTTAGCTGGAGCAACAGCCACATAAGGAATGCTTCAGAACCATCCCCAAGTCAGGAAACCACAAATTACAGGTCTGAAATTTACCACACTGGCATGYCTACATAAATAAAACCAACTGGAAAGATAGGAGAGAGGAAAAACACATTTACAAATAGTATTAGATTAGAGAAGAGGAAAAATGCTAAACTCTTTTCTTGGCTCTAATCAGAAGGCAAAAGGTTACTACAGGCAGGAGCTTGCAGACTTTAGCTAAACATCTTCCTGGTGCTGAGGATGAGTCTTGGTTTTTGTTTATTATGCATGCAATCAGGGCTTTACACATAATCATTATTTTGATGGAGGCCAAGMAGGGGCATGGCTGGATTTGTTTTTTCCCTTTCCAGGTACTTTGTCATCATCTTGCTCCCTCTTTATCTCTGCCAAGTCTTTGGGATGGGATGATGTCATTGTCTTTATCTACATGTTATCTACCATGGTGAGCCCTTGATCCTGACCAAGGGTGTTGGCTGTCTCATGAATGCTGGATTAAGGAGCAGCCATAGGAAACCTGAATTTCTCTTGCAGACACTTCAGTAGAGTAAATACAAGTGATACTTGCAAAACCACCAAGACAACTGCTAGTTGTCACAAAGCCTTATATAGGCCTTGTTACATCAGTCCTCTTCCAGCCCTCCCACCCTTAGCCTGTGCCAGAGCAAACTCCCAGAGCTCCTCTTCACACTCAGCTGTCACACTTGTAGCTCAGACTCTGCTGCAGCCGGGCTGATGGAGGCTTGGAAAAAGCAGCTGCCTTGAATGATCAGTTGTTTCTCAGCCCCAGATGTGCCTGGAACTGAAGCACAGMAGGTAAAATGCAATCCTTGGAACTGAACAGTAAGAAAAAGGGGTGTCAGGAGATCTGAAGAAAGGAAGCAAAGTGACCGTGTGTATKTGGAGTTGTCTTTCTGTCTCTGAAGAGATTTCACTGAGCAGAAGTTTAATTGGCTGGGATGTGGAGCATCACCACGTGGTAGAGCAAGGCAGGTGCTCATTTCATCTCCTACTCAGGTCTGCAACTGGTGAGAAGGTAGCAAGAATCTCTGCTCTTCCTCCTGCAGTCTTCTTGGAGCTCTGCCCATGTCCTCTGCTTCAACAGCTTGGAGGATGTAAGGGAAGAAGAAGGGAAAGCATTATGTAAGTTGAGGAAACTTCCTCATTATCTAGCAATGTCTGAATTTTTTAAATAGAGGGGATAAAAAGAATTTTCTTGAGATTGAATGTAATGAAACTAGATCTGAACTCACAGGTTCAGCTCCATCATCTGGCTCTTCTGTGAAAAAAAAAMCGGAAAACCAACAAACAGACTGAGAAGGTTACTCTGTAAGTGTCTGGAAGCTGGAGACTTTCTATAGGAAAAGGATGGGTAGGTTTAAAAAGTTTAGTTCTTTCCTTGGGTTCTGCTGCCAAATATCATAAGTGGATGTTGCACATAACCCTAAGAAAAATGACTGTCAAGGATACATTGGCACTAATGCTGTTATGTGAGAACTGGAGCACTGGTAGGACCTGGATCAGAGAAGTTTCTGTGTTAGGGCACCTCTTGTTCTTGCTCCAAGAGCTGACTTCTGGCCATTGTAACTGTGGCATTGCCATCAGCTTCATTAACTTAAAATCACGGCATTTCGGTCTTTGCATATTTTTTTTTTTGTTTCCTGTGGTTGAGAGGCTAATTGCTGCTGTTAATGAGGTAGATCTCAGTTGGCATTTAATAACAAATATTCATTTTGGGTGCTAACTGGGGACTGCAATCCCCACATTGGGGAGCAGCGTTCCCTAGTGTTTTGTGGATTCACATCTGCCCTTCATAACACTTCCATCTGCAGGAGAGAACAACTTGTTTTCTGTGGATGGGTTGAGGAACCAGGACCGAGGTAAACCAAGTTTGCTCAGCACTGCAAAGCAAATGGGGGAATGGAAAGGCCTTGAATAGTAAACCAGTGCTCTTCTGCAGCTGGACTACCTTCCCTGCTGTCAGTCTCCTAACTGTGCAGTTGGTGTGGATAAATCAATAGGACGTGGCAGTGGTCACTACCAGTTATTCAGTCTTTGAATCTCTGCTTGGTGGGGTTTCTGCGCCTAAGAGGATTCACTTGAGCTGGATAGTGAAGAACATTAAAAAATKAAGTCTGCAAGTTAGCCCTGAGAAAAAACATATGGTTAGATATTTCTCTGTCCAAGATGAGTTTAAAATTTTCTTTCTAGGTTTTAGTTCCCTCCTCTGATCTGTTTGGAGTGATTCCACTTTTTGTTTTTGGTGGCAACAGAAATGGTCAGTGCCTAAATCTTAATTGTTGAATTCTTGTGGATTAGAAGGAACAGTTTTCCTTACTGGAGAARGGATAAGGAAATGGTTTTTCTGTGGTATGGAAAAGTCATGCAAAGGGCGGCTTAGGGTTTGTGTTTTCTGGTGTTTTTGCTGCTGTCTCCATTGCGTGCATACAGAGTGGTGCTTTTGGGGACAAGATGGCCATACTGCTGCCACCTCCTGCAGCWGGAGGCTGAGCAGACAGCTGCGGGAGGGGGTGCCTATGCTGGGTGCAATTATTGAAATGAAGTTGCCATCTCTTACAGAATTTAGTAGAGTCAGATTTATATGTAGCATTTCTTCTAAAATATCTTCATATCTWGTTCCTAAAAGCTTTTTTAGCTGGATGTTATGTTCCCTTTGACTTCCTCCAAAAGAAGAGAAATATGTGATAAGGCAGGGTTGGGATAGGACACTTAAATATTTAATTTGACCACAATTTGTGGGATTAAAAATTGGTTACAACTTGTGATTTCTTGAATACCTTGTAAATCTGTAATCTCTWACATTTTACGCAAATGAGTGCAGTTCCACATGACCAACTTCTACCATACTTTGGTCAGATGTAGTTCAGGAGTCGTGCACAGAAACTGGATCTCTTCTTAGACTCTTCTTATCTCCTCTCAGAGGGTAAGAAGTCCCAAGGAGCATCCCACTGGAACATGAGTCCTGCAGGCAAACCTAGGTCCCTGTTTACCTCTGCTGGAGCAGGACACTCCACCAGCTGTCAYATTCTGCTCTTTAACCCAGCGCTTCATCTGACCTGAGTGCAGTGGCTGGAGCAGGAAGAGTGCTGCTGATAGAAATCTGCCGTGGTCCAACAAGTAGTTAATGGTTAAACACCCCATGGCCTGTGGAGGCTGGGTCATGCTGGTTCAGGTGTTTTACGTGGGGTTGGTCTGTAGAGAAACCTGCAGTTGAGTGTTTCTGGCAGGCAGCCTAAGGGGTGGGAAAGAAAGGCTTTTGTARATTCACTGCTGTACAAATGTAGGCTTAATGTGTGCATGCAACCTAGTATTTGTTAAACAAGTGGGTTYTCCTAGCAGGAGAGATGAGCAGATGTTGTGCATATGGCTGGGGCATGGCGCTGCTTCCCAGCAGACCCGACCCTGTCCTCTCCTGCCAGGTGTCACCAGCCCCAGAGCATTAGGCAGCGGTGTCCTGCTGCCTCCTGCAGCCTCCCTGGCCCCTGCCTTGGCTTGAGGATGAAATTTTTATTGTTGCTTTTATTATTACTGTTAATAACATTCACTTGACATTGTCCCTTTTCCTGTGCTCTGTTGTTTTCCACTTTACCTTTATTCTGACACAGTTTAAGCGCTGAACAAAAATGCCACTTTTATTTGCTCTCAAAATCTGGTATGTAATTAAGTAAATAAGAAAAAAATAATAATCCATGAGATCAAATTTCTTCAGCTTATTATTGAAGATACAGATGCGTCATCTCTGCATTCCCTTGGGACACCCGGATTAGCCAATTTTTTTTTTATCTGTCAGTCTTGGGTCAAGCTCTCTAGAAAGTGCTGAGWTGAAATTGGCGCACATACCTAACAATGTTGCTTTAATAGCAAGGGAACTCCTTTTAAGTGGTGACACTGGAGCAAACATGTRGAGCTTCTTAGAGAGCTGAAGACCAGGTGGATGGGTGTCGTGGTAAGCAGAGACTGCCTGGGAAGCCATGGAGAGCCCCTCAAGAGATATGGTGCTCTCCTGAGTTCCAAAGGTCCTTTTGGGCTTTGCCACACAGAGCTGGTGCAGGCTCTTGGAAAAAAACATGTGCAGCAAAGCGGGGATCTGAACCATTGGCTCGTCTCATCCCATCATCTATCTTGTCTTCTCACTTTTTATTTTTCACKCTTTCTGTAACAATTCACCTTTGTTCCCTCATCTTTTTTTTTGGGCAGACAGGGAATTCCTCTATAAMGGGAACTGTTGGAACTTTCAACATGTGAGTGTGAAGAGATTGTTGCAGTGCTGCTAAGCCCAAAGCCTCACGTAACGAGTTTTTTGGGTTTCAGCAGTTGTTTRTAGTGGTGGAACAAACGTGTAGGAGTAGCAGTGAGGTTGGGGAGCTCTGAGCCCTGCTTGAAGTGTCAAAGGACATGTGTGGTAATGTCACTGAGTCATGCTGGCCACAGGGGTGGAAGGCAGCAGAAGGGCTCTTTGTCTGCTTCATTTCCAATGGCTTGAACCTTGGTGCTTTCAAAAAATAAAATCGTTGAGGTTGGAAAAGACCTCCCAGATTGTTCAATCTAACCTTTGACCCAACACCACCCTGTCAACTAGACCACAGCATGAGTGTCATTYCAGTCATTTCTTGAACAGCTCYAGGGTAGTGTGTCCACCACAGTGCTGGGCTGGCAGCTCCTCCAGGAGAATTCTGTGGGAGAGAGTATCAAAGGCTTTACTGAAGGCCAGGTAGGCTATGTCCAGAGCCTTTCCCTCATCCAGTGGTTGAATCACTTGGTTATAAAAGGAGATCAGTTTGTTCAAGCAGGACCTGCCTTTCCTAAACCCCCACTGGCTGAGCCTGATCCCCTGCTTGTCTTGTACTTGCCATGTTTTTTCCACTCAAGTTCCCCTGCCCCTGACCTGCCTTGGCACCAAGGTCAGGCTGACAAGCCTGTAGCTCCCTTGATCCTCCTTCACTTCTGGTAGATGAGCATCACATTTGCTGCTATCCAGCCATCTGGGACCTCCCTGTTTAACCAGGACTGAGGAGAAATTCTGGAGAGTGGCTTGGCGAGTCCTTCTGCCAGCCAGAACCCTTGGGTGAATCCCCTCCAGCCCTGTAGACTCGTGTCTGAGTGGCTCAACAGGTCATTAACCACTTCCTCCTGGATTGCAGGCTTTTTTTTCTCCTCCCTGTCTCTGTCTATCAGCTCAGGGGCCTCATTGCTCTGAGGATAACAGATCTGTCTGTTAAAGGCTGAGGCAAAGAAGGCATTAAGTACCTCAGGCTTTTCATTGTGCTTTGTGACAATGTTCCCCCCTGCGTACAATAAAGGATGGATATTTTCCTTGTCCCTCCTTTTGTTTTTAATGTTTTTCTTAAACCCCTTTTTATTACCTTTCACAGCAGTGGCCAGATTGAGTTCTAGCTGAGCTTCATCCTTTCTCTCTACATGACCTAACAACATCCTTGTRTTCTTCCTGAGCTGCCTTCCCCTTCTTCCAAAGGTCAATAACTCTCTTTTTTATCCCTGAGTTCCTTTGAGAGCTCCCTATTTAGCCAGGATGCTTTCAGGGGTGCAAAAGACCGGTCAGTTCTGCTATAAAAGGAAAATAAATTGCTGCTTGTGGTGATGAATTTGAAAATTAGAGTTGACAATATCATGGATAATATTGTATATTTAATCAAGGATTGTTTGGAAGCCCTTCTGAGAGCTGGTTAAGCAATTACAGTTACTACAAAGGAGRGCCAGGTGGGATATCCTCAGCTGTGCCTGCATTGGAGGCTTTGGCACCTTTGCACAGAATTGCTGTCATTAGCAATGTGAAAGTGTTGGTAGCTGTGTCACAAGTTCTTAGGCTTTTATGTTTTTTTAGTCAGGGTGCAATCCAGTTCTAACTTTTTCACATTCTTCCTGTGTACTGTGGGCTTAACACTGAACTGTTTTCCTTATGCTGTTTGGAGATTTCCAAGCTTGAGTCTTTATAAAGGTGAAATTCCCTGCTGAGGAACATTTGAACCTAGGGAAAAAATACTTGGTAAAAAAAAGAACAGCGAGTCCCAAATACCTTTCTTGAAGCCTTGTGTTTAGGTGTTAACACAGGACCCTATTAAAAACWGAGGGAGATTTTAAGCACTAGACCACAGTGACTCAAA